TAACTCACAGAAAATAAAACCTAGTAATACTAGGTTTTTTCAATACAAAGAGTCTCAAATACCAATATTACTTTTTATACTGGTAGGATGCTCTCTAGCCAAAGAAAACAAAAACTGTGCAAGGTTAGAGAATCAGTGGATGAACGACTAGAGTTAAACTGATTGAAGAAGCCCTTTTGATAAGCAAATGCTCATTTCCTAAATACTTCCTATGAAAAGTCTCCTAATAAATGAAAATCAACTGTTTCAAGTCTGGTGCTCATACTTTTGTTTCACCAAATACTTTCCCCAACCCAAATCCACAATGAAAAGTTAAGATAGGTTAGGGAGAAAAATCCAAAAATGTATTGTATTTCTCAAGGAAACATTAAGTTTTTTCCTATATTGTTATTTGACTATTATAATACTTAACAGGTATAACACAATAAATAATAAGCATCATAATAAATAAGCATAATAAAAAGTATGATGAACATACCACCTAACTACAATATTCTCTCAATAAGGAAAATCCTACATTATTCTATTCAATTCAGTGTGTTATTACATAAGGTGCTATTTTGTTACATTAAATGTCAGTTTGAATGCAAACGTAGTATTTCCTTTCTTTGAACTCCCTACTCAGACTGTGGCTCAACAGGAAAGGAAGCACAGCACCGACTTCCCACCACAACGTCGCTGAGCCTACTCCACGTCGAGGACCATTTGCTGCTTCCTGATTTATTCCATTAGTCACAGCACAATATAAACCCTAGTAACTATAATAAGCCAGCATTAGTTACAGAATGCTGTTTACAACTCATTCAAAATGATTTGTATTATGCTCGTATGCTCCTTAGCCTTATTAAATGGGAAAAAGACCCAAATTCTGCTGCAACAACTACTGAGTACAGTTGCACTTCTGGGAGGTTACCTGACAGACTACTGGCAGATACAAGGAACAGATCTGACAGCCCGTGCGGTGCACAGAACCACCCCCGCAGTCTGCAGCCCTTCCCGCAGCGGTCTGCCCCTCGCTCTGCCCACTGCGGAAACCACGCATTCACTGTCAATCAGAGCTATGCCTGAAAGGATATGGTTGCTAGATTTTTTTTGGCCCTCTTTGTTTTAAATCTCACTAAACCAGAAACGACTAAATTTGCAACCCGTTTCTTGGCCATGAATGCTCTGTGGTATCATCTACCAAAAATTTAAAGACATATTTACATGTAAAAACATGTGCCCAATTCTGCAAAGTACAGAAACTTCTTTGAATTAAGTACGAAGGCTTTGCCAACCCTTTTCAATTCCATGACCACAGGAAACCAAAAGACCCTACAACAAATGAACCAAAACCACACAAAAAAGTGGAGGGAAGTAACGCTTTTCCCAGGCATTCAATAGGCCCAGGTCTGCCCCCCTGAGCTGGGCCCTGCCTTGTGGTGCAGAATCAGCAAAAAGCAGAGATGTGGCCCAGCGTGCTAATTTCAGCCTCCATCTAAGAGAAAGGAAGATCAGTGAGTTTTCAAATGAAGAAATACTGTGAGAACTCTAAGTTGATTTTTAATCGACAGGCTTGCTATCTGGATTAGTAATCAAGGTTAAGAACAATTAGGTCAATAATTTTTCCTGAGGGACAGAGTGAGCTGTTCGGTTCATCTGAAAATCTGTTTTCCTATCTCCAAAATGAGACTGCTGGATCGTCACTTCACAGGGCAGGCCCTATGCAAATGCATGGGAACCGTACACTTTAGGCTTCAAGAGACTTCACTGGTATCTACTCAAATCGCCGAGAACAAAGCCCCACAGGTTCAGGTTGTAAGATGTGTGGAGAACTGGCTGCAGTTTTATTTTATACTTCATATTATTTTTATTCTAAAAAATAAATAAAAATACAAAATAAAATTACTGCAGCTGAAGCACAGGGTATATAAACTGCACACAATTAAGACAAAGATGGTACTAATCAGGCAAGATGACAACAATCTTTAGCTTGAGTTATTTACCAGAAACTGTTTCATAATGAATGACAAGGAAAACACATGAACAATGTAAGAGACATTGGGAATGCACTACCAACAATTGTATATAAAATAGTATTTTTACTTGGTGTGTAAATAAGCCTCTTAAATAGAACATTTCCTATTTGAGAAGCCGGGTGTTGATTATGAAGATACTGTATTAAAATTTTACTCCTCTTCAAAACCAATTAGGCAAAAACAGATAACTGAAAGTCCTCAACAGCAAAAACATCATCTGTCAATATCGCAGAGCAGCATAGTTAAACCACACATCCGAGAGGACACCTGACTAGCTCTTCCATGGCACAGACGAGCTAGCCAAGGCCAACAGCTCTTTAAAGCCCTGGGGCTCTACACAGCAGAACCAAAGCTGGAACCTATGCCTGCAAAATCCTAAAACCCAACTGACAATATGTTGTCTGGAAGGGACCCATTTCAGATAAACAGATATAAACAGACGGAAAATAAAGTAATGGGAAAAGATCTTCCACGCAAGCACTATGGCCAAAGGAGAGCTGCAGTGGTATGCCAGTATCAGATAAAACCTACTTTAAGCCAAGGGGAAATGGACAGTGTGTAATGTAAAAAGGTCAATCCATTAAAAAGATATATATATTTTTTAAATATTTTATTATTTATTTATCTTTAGAGGGGAAGGGGGGAAGGAGAGAGGGAGAGAAACATCAATGTATGGTTGCCTTTTGTGCGCCCCCTGCTGGGAACTGGCCTGCAGGGAACCGGCCTGCAACCCAGGCATGTGCCCTGACTGGGAATCGAACCGCGATCGTGTGGTTCGCAGGCCCGCGCTCAATCCACTGAGCTACACCAGCCAGGGCTAAAAAGATATAATATCAGCAAGTTGACAGTTGTTAGTTTATGTCATTTTATTGTTCAAATTTTTGATTATCTTCTTTTTCTAAGTGAGTCCCTTTAACATTTCATATAAGAGCTTGGTGATGATGAACTTTAACTTGACCTTATCTGGGAAGCACTTTATCTGCCCTTCCATTCTAAATGAAAGCTTTGCAGGATAAGAGTCATTAGGATGTCAGTCCTTTGAACACTTCTTTCCAGTCCCTTCTTGCTTGCAAGGTTTCTTTTGAGAAGTCAACTGATAGTCTGATGGGAACTCCTTTATAGATAATGGTCTCCTTTTCTCTTACTGCTCTTAAGATTCCTTATCTTTAATCTTGGGTAATGTAATTACGATGTGCCTTGGTATGTGCTTCCTTGGGTCTAGCTTCTTTGGGAATCTCTGAGCTTCCTGGACTTCCTGGAAGTCTATTTCCTTTGCCAGATTGGGGAAGTTCTCCTTCATTATTTTTTCAAATATTTTCAATTTCTTGCCCTTTCTCTTCTCCTTCTGGCACCCCTATGATTCGGATGTTGGAAGGTTTAAAGTTGTCCCTGACGTTCCTAAGCCTCTCCATTTTTTTGAATTCTTGTTTGTTTATTCTGTTCTGGTTGAATGTTTGTTTCTTCCTTCTCCAAATCATTGATTTAATTCTCGGTTTCCTTCCCTTCACTGTTGGTTCCCTGTACTTTTTTTATTTCACTTTGTATAGCCTTCACTCCTTCCTCTATTTTGCAACCATACTCAACCATTTCTGTGAGCATCCTGATTACCAGTGTTTTGAGCTCTGCATCTCATAGGTTGGCTATCTCTTCACCCCTTAGTTTTTGTAGCTTTGAAATGTCCTTTCATCTGGGCCACATTTTTTTTGTCTCAGTGGGCCTGTTAGGTAGTAAGGGGCAGAGCCTTAGGTATTCACCAGGGTTTTGGCACTGTGTTATGGCACTGTATGTGGGGGAGGGGTCTGAGAGGGAACAGTGAAGTTTGCTCAATTCTCGACTGGCTTTCAGTCAGTTCTCCCCTTACCCACAAGCAGACTGGGCCCTTGTGGTGCTGATTCCAGCTGTCAAATCAGCATACACTGAAAAAATTTACCAGAATTGGTGAATTTTTGTGCAGCCATGTTAATATTGAAGATGGAAGAAGATACGGAACATTGTCAGTGTTCCAATACACCACCACTATTGGTGTACTATGCTTTGTTATTTCAAGAAAGGTAAAAACTCAACTGAAACACAAAAGATTTGTGCAATGTATGCAGAAGATGCTGTGACTGATCAAATGTGTCAAAAGTGGTTTGCAAAATTCCTTGTACTATTGACATTTTTGCCAAATAATTCTTTGAGAAAAGAATTTGATATTGAAAGATGTTTAGCAGCATCCCAGCCTCTACCCACTAGAAGCCAATAGAGGAAGATAGCCAACATACTCAAAATATCTAAATCAATAGTTACTGGTAAAAACAAAAAAATGTGTCTTTTATTTTACAGAAAAAAAACTAAACGGCCTTTTTGGCCAACACAATACTAGAAGCCACTGGACCATATACCTTTAAGTGGTTAAAATAGAGAATTTTATGTGATATGAATTTAATCTCAATTTAAAAATAATCGAAACAACAATTAATTTAACCCTACACAGCAGCATGCGAATTAAAATAATGTCGAGTCCCTTCAGTATTCTCGTGTCTACTTGCTCAAAATCTAGATCTAGAAACAGGCACCAGAAAGTTTACAACTGGAGTACTGTCGACAATCATGAGAGACTATTTTAGTTCTAACCACTATTAAAAAAAGAGACAAGAGAGCCCTGGCTGGTGTAGCTCAGTGGATTAAGCTCGGGCCTGCGAACCAGACAACCGGGGTTCGATTCCCAGTCAGGGCACATGCCTGGGTTGCAGGCCGGTTCCCTGCAGGCCAGTTCCCAGCAGGGGATGCACCAGAAGCAACCATACATTGATGTTTCTCCTCCTCTCTCCTTCCCTTCCCCTCTAAAGATAAATAAAAATCTAAAAAAAAAAAAAAAAAAAAGAGACAAGAGAAAAAAGGCCATACACTAATCCTAAGAGACGGGTTTACACTGATCACTGCACTCGCAGGAAAACACAACGTGGGCCAGCCCTGTCCTGGGACGCGGCAGCGACTCACCAAGCTTCTCTGGCTCATCGGGCCCCGTGCCCGCGATGCAGCTGCTCTCCAGGCCGTAGGTCGGATCCACCTTCCCAGAGGCTCGAGCTGCTTCTTGTACTTTCTTGACATGAGCTTCCACCAATTCCAGGGGTACCTCCTCCCGGACCCGAGAAAACTCCTCTGTTCAAGAATGAAAATGGAACAGTGGCCTTGTTTTACACCAACATTTGCTTCATCGTAAACCACTCGGCCATCTAACACATATCAGTGTCCTATGTGTAGTGACCTTTCTAGGGACTCAGTCCTATCTGTTCCAGTAAAACAACGAGACCAAACAAAAACCTGTGCACAGTAACGCAGACCTGTGACTGCACCTTACCTTACATGCTGTACTATCTTGCTACATAAATAAGAGAGATCTTTAAATATCTAACAGTAACAACAAAAACTGCTGTCCAGATTTTATCTGCTCAGCTAGACTGACAATAAAGAAAATTGCAAGGATAAACAACCAGAAAGCCAAAAAAAAGTTCTATGATATGATAAAGTTCGAATCATAATTAGTATTATAATCCAATGATGTCAAATGACTCCTTTTGCCAGTTATATAAAATTTCAAATGAATTACAAAATATACCATAAAATGTTTTTGTCCCCATCAATTCTTGACACTCTTAATTTTAAAACTAATAACACTTTAGGTGCTTTAGTCTAAATTGTTATAATACTTTTAAATAGCATCTAAGGTGTACTATTTAATTTTTGTTATTTAAGTAACAGAAATGCATACAACACATAACATTTAAATCTGGGGTAATATTAATATGAAAGACAGTATTAAACCATTATCTGACAATGTCTGCGGGTGAGACGGCCCAGGCCAGTCCTTACCCAGAGCCGCCTTTGCTGCGGCAGACGCCACCCGAGGGTCCACCACAGATGCCAGAAAGGCCACGGTGCTCATGACCGGGTTTCCTGACTGACTGAAGGGGACAGGCTGGTACGCCAGGGGTCCCAGGGAAGCATCTGAATTCTCGAGGTAGGGGTCCTCGATGGGAAGCCTCAAAAAGTGGAGGATGCATTCGTCCTGCGTACGGCTCCCAACGTGCTCGGACACTTTGTTCCAGTCGTCCTTGTACATCTCCAGGGCCTACGGCAGAAACAGAGCAGGCGCTTTAATGGCAGGCAACAAGGAGTGCTCTGTGGCAACATCAGAAGCCTGCGATTATTTTTTACACAGGATTTTTTATTTTTTAAGATTTTATTCTTAGAGGAGAAGGGAGGGAGAAAGAGAGAGAAAAACATTAATGTGTGGTTGTCTCTAACGTGCCCAACCCAGGTATGTGCCCTGACTGGGAATTGAACCAGTAACCATTGGTTCGCAGGCCAGCACTCAATCTACTGAGTCACACCAACCAGAGCTATTACGTAGCTTTAAAAAAAAAGTCAAAACGGTTATACTTTTCATTAAAAGGAATGCACATTATAGAGGAAAAACAACTGTGTTTTATCCATACATAGAGTTATTTACATAGAAAATCCACGGAGTCTACACGAAGGGCACAAAACTACAAAGTTCTGCAAGGTTGCGGGAGAGAAGGGAACAGAAAAACTCAATTATATTTCTCTTTACACCAGCAATAAACTTTTTTTAATTGCGTGAAATTAAAATATTTAAAATAGCACAAAAACGAAATACTCAGGAATAAGTGTGTTGACGAATATGCAAGGCCAACATGCGGGAGAAAACGTGCCAAGGGCAACCGACGGCCTAAATAAAGCCAGCCCCACCCCCCCACCCCCCCCCCCCGCCCATGTGCACCGGCGAGAAGCCTCAGCGCTGGCAGGGCGTCTGCTCTCTCCAAACTGAACCCGACTCAGCCCACTGCCACTCAAACTCCACGCCTTTTCTGTTAGAAATTCAGAAGCTGATACTACAATTTATAAAGAACACAAATTTCTAGTTTGAAAATTTATGATTTTTCACAGAAAATGCTGAAAAAATGTCAACAAAAAAAGTTAACAATCTCTTCCAAAAGGGGGAGGGATAGACTGGCATAAAGAAATGAGAAATACACGCAGTGTCGGGAGTCCGGGAAGCAACTGGGGAAAAGGAGTGTGTGTGACAGCTGCCCCCCAGGGCTCCTTGCATGGCCTCTTCTAGAGCCAGATGTTTAAACAGGGGCACTTTGGCCTCCTCGGGGACATTCGGCAACGCCTGGGGTATTTCTGGTTGACATAACTGGGGAGGAGCCACTGGCACCCAGTTGGTGGAGATGATGGATGCTGTTAAACATTCCGCGATGCCCTTAAGAGCCCACAATAAAAGACAATGGGGCCCAAATGTCTGGAGTGGCAAGGCTGGAACTCTGCTCTCGTGCCTGGTATGCTGGCCGATGTTGTGATGTGAGCGCGGTGACCGCAGTTCTCTCCCCGCCGGCCTGCCTGCCTCGGCAAGTTCAGGTCCCAGGCTCCAAATGCTGCTCCAGGCCTTGTTTCTCTAGAGCACTCCTCAAAACCCAAGCCAGCAAATGGCCTCACCCATTAGATTCCTTAAAAAACAAGGCTGATTCTGGGTTTCCTTTATATAGTCAGCAACCCTGGAGAAGTCTAGAAGGAATTACTGAGAAAAAAGACCCAGACTGAAACAAACAAAAAAATTCAATGTACCTTACCAGGGTCTGTGGAGCCAGAAACATGTAACTGGGACCATTCCAAGTTTTGTGAGCAGGAATTCTGGGGGCATACTCCATCATCATCTTTTCAAACAACCTGTTATCTAAACATTTTTTCCTTGACACATTCTCCTTCAGCCAGACAAAAATAACCAAGTTCAGAAAGTTTTTTTTTCCTGAATAAAGCTAAGGAACCCTACAACCTGCAAAATTCAAGCAAGAGCCAACACTCAGAACAGCCAGTAAGGCTGAGAACAGTGAGATTCCGAGCCTGAGCACTGACGGAGGGCTGACACCGAGAGGGAAGGTACCACCAGACCTGTCATAAGAACCACAACCTCAGCCTCTGGCTGTCATCCATGTCTTCACCATCACTTACCAGGATCCTTAAAACTGCCTCTCTATCCTTAAATTCATTCCTCTTCCAGGTGCCACAGTAAAGTACATTTCACACAAGACACCAGCTCTCTCTTGCCTAAAACCACTTCATTGCTCATTATTATCTTGTGAAATTAAGGCCAACCACAATCGGGGCTCTGCCTGCCTCTTCTCTGCCTGCTCTGCAATGTTCCAGGAACACCCAGATGCCCCAACACTGTTCCTGAGTCCCCCTGTGCACACTGGTCCACACAGAAGACCCCCTGCGCGAGAAGCTGTCCATTCCCAGGAAGCTTCGCCAGCCCAGTCCAGTGGCACAGCCACTTCTCTGTACGCGTCTTGGGCTCTGGTGTGTCTCCAATTGTGAAGCTGAGGACACTGCGTTCATTTTGGGTTTTACTCTGTTTCTGTCCCCTGATCGACTCTGAACTCCTTAATCATTGAGACTATGGCCTCGCCCCCTCAATCTGAAGTGTCTGCCACAGTGCCTGAAACACAGGGCCCCTCTGCTGAACTTCACATGCAATTGGGCTGAACCAGTAAAGGAATTAACGGCTCTAAATGTAAAAAACGAACAAACAGAAGACATACTCATCTAAAGAAAATAGTATTTCTTGGGTTGCATATTAAGTGCACGCATACTGTGAGAAAATCTTTGACACTGATCACTAAGTATCTCCTGATACCACTGTTTCTACAATCTAGCCAACAGAAAATACGTAAGACACGCTCTTAGTGAGTGGTAAACAAACACTGATGACCCTCATGAATTTCATTTGCAGGTACAAGATTTTATGTCCATTAATTATCTAAGGGAAAATAAACACATGGCACGAGAAAGCCAAGCAGTCACAGGAGGTACTCAAGTTAATACAGGAGAACACAAAAGCTCACAGATTCAAGTTGTCAATTTCAAACCCAGGGACAAATGACCAGGAAGAGTATTTTAACAAGTGCAAACTTAAGCTCTGAAAGCATCTTTAAAAAATCTGCTCAAACACTACGGAATAGAACAGCACTATTTCTTCTTCCATCGTGGCGTCTGATTCTATCAATGCTGTAATTTCAAACTGCAGTAAGGACTGAATTAGCCTTCTGTGGCTTCTTATACTGATGACACATTTTCAGGTGGAACACCTCACACATTTTATTTTACAATTGCAATCTTACTCAAACAGCCTCCATTCCATCATATGGATCCTCTGCAAAATTTTTCTTAGAGAGCTAATGTAGAGCCTTTGTTTGCAAAATTGAAATGTCTCCAACACTGATCATAAAACAAGGGAGTGAACACAGGATAGCAAGCAGCAGGCTTCCGTATAAGAACAGTGTTTGGATAGAGATCACACCCAATAAAATCTTTTTCAAATAAAAATGGACGGTTTCAAGAATAATCCAAAATATCTGGGATACTGCCTGTGTGATATCTAATAAAATAATGTAATTTTTTGAAAACCCTAATGAGTCTTCTAATTTATTAGGAAGAAATGGACAGTGTTTTTGGTTATAAACTCATTAAAATTTTCCATCTGACTTCATGCTCTTGAGCTATTAGCAAATAAACAAACTATGTAAACAGGTGTCAGTGGCAAACAATGCTGCTGGGAAGCCTTTTATTTTTCTGTGTGTAAGCCTGGACAACACCTGTCAGTTCAACTGTGTGTCTGAAAGGAAAAACCAACCACTGCACAGGTTCCACCTGCAGGAGGGATAAGCACTACCGTGTACAGACGCTGCAGGTTTCTTTATGTGTTCGGTGTAAACAGTGACTCAGCCACGCTGACCTCACTGTGTTTACTGTCCACTTGTCTTCCAGGTGCAATGGAAGAGGAGAAAATTTTGAGCATCAATGTGTAGCAAAAAGAAATGATGCAGGGCCTATTGTCCCAGCTGGGGGTGCACAACTGAGTTTCTCTGCAGAACCCAACAGAAAAGTGTGTTTGTTACATTCCCCCTACAATACTGAGCTCTTTTATTTTTAATTTTAGATTTTACTTATTTATTTTTGGAGAGAGGGGAAGGGAGGGAGAAAGAGAGGGAGAAAGAGAGGAAGAGAAACATCGGTGTGTGAGAGAAACATAGATCAGTTGCCTCTTGCACACCCCCAACAGGGGACCTGGCCTGCAACCCACACACATGCCCTGACCGGGAAGTGAATTGGTGACCCTTTGGTCTGTGGGATGACGCCCAATCCACTGAGCCACACCAGTCAGGGCAGCACTGAGCCCTTCTAAATTAACACCCATGGCACGTATGACTAGACAAAACAGTCCTGAAATAAGTAAAAAGTGGCTCAGAAAAGCAGCTCTCTGTATGTCACTGCTACTGAGTGGGCAGATGAGAAATTAAAAAAGAAAGAGAGGAAGAAAGGGGAGGGGAGGGGAGGGGAGCGATCTCTTTGAATTTGGATCCTGAAAGATACTGTGACAAACAAGGAAAAGAGAGGTGTAAAAAATAAAATAAAATAGTTAATATACCATTAAAACTTCTTATGGAACCACAAATATTAAAAAAAACTTGAAAAAACAAATTAAAACTTAACAGAAATGTTGTAGACAGCTGTGCTGGTTCTAGGAATTGTGTATCGATCCCTTGTGGCTAAGGGCGAGGGACGACCTCTGGAATGCCAGCCGCAGGAGACAAAGCTTGTCTCTGGTAGCAAATGCTGCCTCAGTTTCCCCTCCCGGCCCCCAAACCTTGGTTGGAAGTCAGTGACGGGTAAGACCCCTCACGGTGGGGGGCAACCTAAGCCAGACTCCATCACTTGGGAGGCCTTCATGGAAGGACTGGGGGGGGGGGCTGCAACAAAGAGCAATGGACTCTCCCACATGCCCCCCCCCCTTTGACATAGCCAGAGTCCCCCTGTCCTTTGGGAGAAGTGCTTCCTGGCTCTAATCCCCTTAAGCCTGAATACCTGATTCAGGGGAGGGGTGCAGCTCCTTGCCTTGCTAAAGCCTGTCCTGGGGAAAAATCTGGAATCACAAAGACTTCCTGATAAACCTGGGAAATCTGCTCTGCTAGGAGTGCTTTCAGTCATATGTTAAGGGTTCCAGCAGGAAACCCTAAAACTCTGTTCCTGACAGACTCTGAAGCCCTCAGATTTCTTTGTAATGTTATCTGCTGTTTGATCCTTGCCGCCCAGTATTCCTGTGTATTACAACCCAATAAAACCCTAGAGCAGGGGGCTCAGGGCCTTTTTCTCCTTAGAGGAACTGGCCGCAGCTGGCCTTTGTCTCCCCTGAGAAACTGGCCACTGCCCACTTCTCCTCCCCAAACAAATCACATCTTGTCTCGGTCATGATTACTCTTCATCCGTGGCAACTGGGGGGACTCATGAGGAAGTTGCCCCAACACAGAAACATGAGGTATCACCAGTGTATCTCAAGATGTGGTCTGGGACCCAAAAGGACTAGATTCAGGGGGACGGAGATCAAAACCGTTTCCATCACAGAGCTACAGCGCTCTGCCTCTCTCGTGTTCCATTTGCAGTGGTGGGGCAGAAGCAACCGCGGGGGCGCCCGAGTGTTTTCACAGTCACTCATTCTTCACTGCCACACACTGGCAAAGACCAAATATGCCAACTTTACTTAAATGTTTCCCGAATGAAACAGAGAAAAGTATGAATTTACGGACTCTCAACCCCTAAGCCTGCATGTTTTAAATGTCTGGAGTGTGAAACGGGAGGCACACAGAGATCTAACGGTTGGCTGTCAAAGCGCCGTGGCTGTCTGCACGGAAGCCTCAGTGAGGCTGTTCCAGTTTCCAGCTCAACTAGCCACTCTCTTCACCGGAAACTGTTTTTACTGGGGCAAATGGCTAACACATCACTGGTTGTGCAGACACAGATATCCGACTGACATTTTCTGAAAAACAAACAAGAGTTCTCCAAATGTCATCTCCAGGAAAACTGATAGTGTTAGCTGCCAAGGATTAAAAAAAAATCAGAATTCTGAAAAATATGCATCTGCCATAAAAGCCTGTCCGAATACTTCATGAACAATTTCAGATGAGATGAGCTTGGTACCAGTATTACCAAATGAGACTTTAAAAATATAGTATAATGAACTGTTATCAACACTTGGAAGATCTGAACAATTCAGCAAACTAGTATCTCCCAACTTATCAATGCAAGATGTTACACAATCATAAATGGATAGAAGGTAAGTCAAAAGATCAATGGATTCCACACTGTAACTAACCTTTACAAAACTACAAGTGGTAGAGTTTGAATGTGGAATCAAAAAAGAATATCCCTTTAGAAAAAGCCATTAAGATACTCCAGCTTTTCCCATGACATGTCCAGGTGATGCCAGATTTTCCTACTCTGCTTAAATTTAAACAACATTATCAGGTGGAGAGCAAATGTGAAAATCCAGCTGTATTCTACTAGGCCAAACATCACAGAATTGCTTAAATGTATAACGTCATGCTTTTCACTAATCTTTTTTTCCAAAACCTATAGATTTCGGGTGTACGATTTTATAACGATCATTTGCATACTCTGCTGTGTGCTCACCACCCCAAGTTAGGTCTCCTTCCCGCACCATTTATCACCAGCCCCTGAGTTACAACCCCTACCGCAGCCACCCCCTTTCTCTCTAGTAATCACCACACTAGTGTCTGTGTCTATGAATTTTCTCCCCTTTGCTCAACCCCTTTACTTTTTCCACCCAGCCCCTCAAGCCCCTCCTCCGAGAGCCATCATTCTGTTCTCGGTCTCTATGAGTCTGTCTGTTTTGTTTGTTAGTTTATTTTTGTTCACTAGACTCCACATGTAAGTGAAATCATGGTGATGGAACTGAGCAGTGGAAAGAACCCTGGAACTGCCCACCTGAAGAACCATAGTTGAGCAAAAAAACCGATCGCTGTCCTCTTGGTCTAACCCACTGGCAGAAGCACCCCCAGGGCATTTAACACAAGCGCTCATCTGCCCTAACCCAGCCCCCACAGGCACGCCCCACCACAAACACCAGGCAGCACCCAGACAGCTGCTGTTTTCCAGATGAACGCCAACCAGTGGCCCCTCTGCGGAGATGGCAGCTAAAAATAAAACCCAAATTTCTCTATTTCCTACTCGTCAGAGGAAAAATAATCGCTAGGATCTCCTTGTGCAATTATTTGTAAGAATCTCCGAAGAAATCCAAGTAACAATTCAATACAACCTGACAGAGATCCCTCGCATTATCACTGGCTTACCGGTCTCCTGCTTTCAAGGACAAAACAGGGCTGTCCATGGCAGCAGGCCCTTCAGCCCCTTCTCGGGGGTCCCTCTGGGAAGCACAGCGGCCGCACATGCGCAAATGCACACGGGCACTGGCACTAATCTACAACAGCGGCAGCCGGTGGCCGAGTTAAGGCAAACTGCAACCTGGGGACATGCTCAACTCCAAGGCACAATCTGCTGCTCAAGGGCAGCCAAGCACCGCTCCGCTCAATGAGGTCCCGGAACTGCCAGATCTTCCGATTTTGGAGGGAAAGTGAAAAATCTCTGTCAAAGCTCCAATATTTGCTTAATGCTGGCAACAGGTTTTAAACAAACAAAAAAACCCAACCTGGGCCAAAATAACACTTATCCAGGCCTCATCTCCCTTACTGACAGCCAGTATGTTACCTCTAGGTTTGATATTTAAATAATAAAGACCCAAGAAAGTTCTACTGAAATTCATTCCATGGATCAAAATATTTCAGAATATATCCCAAAGGTAGCTCTGAAACGCTGGCCACAGAAATGCACCACCGGCTCACAGTGGACACAGGCTCCACCATCAACGTGCTCACCTCCAGGAGGAGCAGGGTCTCCTGCTCAGTCCACTCTCTTCCAGCACTGGCACCTTTGCTCTGAAAAACAAAACCAGAATTATTAACCCGTCCTCAGCGGCTGCATATGGAGCTCAGCAGGACTCCTTTCTAAGTGCCTGGCTGTTTTATGCAAGCCACCAAAGGAGTCCCTGAGTAACAGCAAGAAAACACTCGGGGAACCTAAACTTCCAACAGAAAAGGCGATCTCTTTCAAAGACTTCTTATCATCAGTAACTCACAGACAGTTTACACTCCTATTATTTTGATACGAAAGTACCTTGTGAAGCTAACAAAGGCACAGTATTTTAATGGATACTATAAATCTGCTACAGTATGACAACCATAATGAAAATATCTGGTGTAACTTGAAGGCAGCGTTTTTTCAAGTTTCAAGGACAGCCTGCACGACACACATAAAGTCCTCAAGAGGATTTCTGGTTCCAGCTGTAACAAATTCACGTCATCTCACTTTTTTAGAAAAATTGTAAAGATTTTTTGTTTGTTTTAGACAGAGGGGAAGAAAGGGAAAAACAGAGGGAGAAAAATTTCAACATGTGGTTGCTTCTCAAACACCCCCAACTGGGAACGTGGCCCGCAACCCAGGCATGTGCTCTGACTAGGAATCAAACCAGCAACCCTTTGGTCCACAGGCCGGCACTCAATCCACTGAGCCACACCAGCCAGGGCTTTTTCAGCATTTTAAATGTTATTACTTTGTCCTTTGGCTTCTAACATTTCTGCTACAAAATCAGGTATCAGTTTTATTACTGTTTCTTATAATTTAATGTGTCCGTCCCCAATCCCACGCCCACCCTTTCCCTCCTTGGCTGCTTCTAACACAAGTTGAAGCGTAAGGTGGCTGTATGTGGTTTTCTGTGTTCAAATTTGGATCTGTTCAGTCTTTCTTATTTTCTGAGTTGGTGTCTTTTGATTAGTTATGGATAATTTTCAGCCATTACATCTTCAAATATCACTTTTGCTCCATTTTTTCCTTCTTACAGGACTTAAACAATAAACGAGTTTATTTTTTCCCACAGTATCTCACATGCCTCTTATACTGTGCTGTCTTTGTCTTTTTTTTTTTAAGATTTTTATTTTGTTTATTTTTAGACAGAGGGGAAGGGAGGAAGAAAGAGAATAAGGGAAATGTCAATGTGTGGTTGCTTCTCATGTGCCCCCAACCTGGAACCTGGCCTGCAACCCAGGCATGTGCCCTGACTAGGAGTCAAATCAGCGCTCAATCCACTGAGCTACATCAGCCAGGGTCCTTTATCTTTTCTCATTCAGTTTCTTTTTCTCTTGGTCCTTCCGTTTCAATAAATCTACTAATATGCCTGAATTCACTAACCCTGTCTTCTGCTCTATCCAACGTCCTGATAAACTCATGCAATGAGTTAATTTCAGGTATATTTTTCAATTAAACAGTATTCACTTGATGGTTGTTACAGATTTCAATTCTCTGCTGAAATTCTCCACTTCATCCTCTATTTGCTTATAACACATTAACTACAGTTATTTTTTAAATGCCTATCACCTAATTATACTAAAAAAATGGTAAAAGTGGATGGTATTTTATAAAATGCCATCAGATTAAGGAGTGAGCTCACCCCCTCACAGTGCAGACAGTGAATGAAGCATCTTAAGGGAAGTGATGCTTCTCAGAAGGACGGAGGACAAAGAGGACACGAGGGATTGCAGTCAATGTGTGTCTAAGAAAAAAAATCCTTACCTTTGCTAAGGTTTTCTTGGAATAAATGTCAGTACGGAGACCAAAGTTCTGCAAATCAATTGGTTTTTCCTTGTTCTTCTCAGGAAAACTTAACATCTGCTGAGCAGCAGGGACCTGTGAGTCAGATAAATGATAAATAGCTGTTGTAACCTCCGCAAAGTCAAGGACACAGAGTTTTTAAAGGATTGTTTGACACTGGCTGGCACTTAATAAATTACTCACTCCTTGTAGAGATGCTACAGAAAAAATACTAATACTTTCACACTGCACTTCTAACAAAATTGAAATTTTGTTAGAAGTGCAGTGTGAAAGTATTAGTATTTTATACTAATAAATAAACAGATGAGATAATAATAAACAGATGAGAAACATTTTTCTGTCTTTTGTAAGTCACAGAGAAAATAGGCAACAAATTGACTTAAATATTATATTCCACTCACAATGAAGGGCAATGTACAGCTTAGATTCACCTTATTCAAATTAATGCTATACATAAGGCAACTGACATAATGTATTTAATAGCACCTGTATGGATGTCCACTTTCCAAGTGTTATGAAGGGGAGGAAGTTTTAAACAATTTAACAAACAGCCTGCTTGTTCAGTTAGTGTCTCTGATGATAAGTGATTAAGAGAATCACGAGCATGAAAGAGAATCTCTAACACATGATGGAAGGAGGGGCTGAGTCTCGGACTAATGGGAGAGCATTACCTGAAACACTGAAATAGTCTTACGGACTCAAACATTTACAACGGGTAAAAACAAACAAACCAGCCCATCGGCTAACCGACAACACTGTTACGTGAGACGACAATTCCCGAATATGAACACTGGATGTGGCAGCCTATTACCGGAAGGCAGCATCCACTTACCTGAGGAGATCGAAGGTGTAGAGGCACAAGCCCAGAGGGGGTGTCAGCCAATACATTGAAATGAGGAGTCGGAGGAGGTCCCATGGCCATAGGTCGACTTTCTGGATCAACTTGGTAATTAACAAGCCCCCACTGCTCCAAAAAGGCATGAACTCTAAAGAATAAAGCTGAGAGTTAAAATCTGGAGAATGTAGCTCATCTCCTTTATAACCACCATTATCTCTAAAAAACAAAAAAACCAACAACAAGTAAACATGTTCTCTGTAGGCTATGAACATCACAAAGTAATAACAATTTTGGTTTGTTAAATGAGGGATAATTTCTATAAACTCAAAGTAATATTGACAATATAGCCACTCAAGACCTAGTACAAAGCCTAATAATTTCAGGCCTGGCCTGTGTGGGTCAGTGGACTTAGTGCCAACCTGTGAACCAAAGGGTCACCAGTTAAATTCCCAGTAAGGGCACATGCCTGGGTTGTGGGCCAGGCCCCAGTAGGGGACACATGAGAGGCAACCACACATTGATGTTTTTGTCCCTTTCTCCCTTCCCTTCTGTAAAAATAAATAGAATCTTTAAAAAGCCAGATCCATGCTGTGAAGAGAGGCACGCACAGACCAAGCTCACAGGCGAGCCACCTTTTGGTGTGTTTCTGTACGACCCGCGGCACTCCCCATCGCAACCCACTCTCTACCTCTGCTCGTTTCATAATGTGACTCTAGGATAAAAGATTGTAAAGTCTTAAAAAGGGGAACAAGTCCCAAGTCTTACCAATATTCAACCCCTAAATGAAATACATAAGATTGAGTTATTTTTTATTAAGCAGAAAACATCCAGCTCAATGAAACATTCAACAAAAAGTATCAGGAACCGCCTGCTGCGATGTGTCTGAGCGTCAGGTGTGTTACCTCATCACAGCGCACACGTCTCCAGTCAAGTTCCTCCGGCAAGCGGTGCTGGTCAAATATTCTTGGGGGTTCAGGCGATATGTGTCAATCATAAAATTTCGATATGCCAAGTATCTAAAAGGCAAAGACAAAATTCTTAAAGTAGACACACATCCTTTCAGAAACAGTAACTCACAGAGTTAAAAATCTGCACAGTCCTCACAACTGAATACAACAAAAAGCTAACATAACATTTCAATGAAAAACAGCGACGTTGTACTGGGCGTTCACAGCCGACGAGTGCAGATGGAGACAGCTGCCTGCAGCACCCCGTTCCTTATGTTGTCTCCCCAGCTACAGCTGACCCCCCGCACCCGGGGATTCCCAACTACGGATGGAAAAAACTGTTTCTGATCCACCGTTAGTTGAACCGCAGAAGCAAAACCTGTGGGTACAAAGGGCCGACTGTACAGGGTTCACCACATCCTGGTTTCAGGGATCCCTGGGGGTCTTGGAACGCATCCCTTACAGATAAGGGGGTACTGTGCTATGTGTCTAGCATGTACTGTATGCCAGACACAGTTCTGAGCACTTTCACACATTTAACTCACAGTCTCTCCAAGAAGTACGGTTTATTATCACCCCACTTACAGAGGAGGAAGATAAAGCACCCAAGGATTACAGAATTTGTTCTAGAGCACAGGGTGGGGGGAGGGGTGAACGTGGAATTCAGCACAGCGTGGGGCTCTTGACCTGTGCTGCATCCTGCCTCTGTACTCTTCCTGGGGTCACATGGGCACTTGGCTCTGGCACAGCTACAGACCTCCTGCCTGGCAGTTTTTCAGAGATCCCAACCAGGCAACGAGTAGAAGCCATGAGGCCAGACTCAGAGGTAACACACGATACTTTTTTTTTAAAGGAGAGAAAAGCAAATCTGGGGGTCCAAGCAGGTCTGACAACGTACCCAAGCATTTCTGGCACAAAATACTTAAAACAAGTGTTAAGAGGCTAGAGACCAGCACAAGTCCTTGCCACGGCAGTCTGGCAGGTTGAGGGTGGCTACACCGGAGCAGAAAAGGCTACCCAGAGAGGGGCCTGCAAAGGCCCAGGGGGCAAACACAGACTGAGAGGTGGATTCACAATGTCAAATGGGTGAAGCGCTAAGCTGTTCTTTTAAACAGAAGACTCCCCAGGACCATAAGTACTTATAGATGCTGGCAATGAACAAATTAGGTGGAATAATATACCATGTCTGAATAGACAGAAGAACTAACAGAGCTTCTTAGGCCAAATCCTTGACAATCTCCAAAAGACTCCTTACAACTTTGTAATGAAAATGCTGAGTTTGCCCCGGCTGGTGTAGCTCAGCGGACTGAGTGTGGGCCTGAGAACCAAAGGGCCGCAGGTTCAATTCCCAGGCTAGGGAACGTGCCTGGGTTGCACACCAGGTTCCCAGTTTCTCTCTCTCCCCCACCTCCCCACTCTCTAACAATAAATAAATAAAGTCTTTTAGAAAATGCTGATTGTTCCTTTGACATCCAAACTTAGAATCTCAAACGACCTCACACGCCCTTCCACCAGCACGTTTTTACTAGCACTGCTCAGTCACTCGCGCTCCGCCCTGTGCTCCGTGGGAACTGGGCCTCCCCACAACCCCCACCAGAGGCCTCTGCTTTGCCGTCACCTGTGCATACAGAGGATTGAGTGACTCTAGGCAGATACGCATGGGAAGACACTTACGTGTAACAGGTGTGGGTTAATTTCAGCGGCAGGAGTTTCAGAACTATGTACTTAACAGTTTATCAGGCAAAAGCAAAAATATATCCTGACCAACTTTTTTCCAGTAAAAGTTCTTCTGTTTCCAATGCAAAAGCACAACAATCCTTTATGCAATGAAGCGCAATTCATATGCAGCTGTATCGTTTTATTTGGCATTCTTTATTAATGACTAGTTATTCATCAGGAAAATAAGGTAAAAATTCCATTTCCTCTAGATTATCACATATAAATATCTGTAGTTCACAATCCATCTGTACACACAGGTGCGGACAGGAAGTAACCTCAACAAATGTTACGGAAAAATCGTTACTGAATTCAAACTTTACTTGCAAGAACTGACATGTATGCAGTTCAAGGTCGAGGAAAAAGAAATCTGAAACAATTTATTGTAAGGCAAGAAATTCTGTGCAGCAGTGATACGAACACTGTTCTGAATGGAGGAAGACATCTGCAAACTTCCACACGAGCAAACATCAACTCCGAAGCTCTCAGAGCCCCTGCCAAACACACACACACCATCTCCCTAAATACCGGCCCCATGAAAGTACGTAATGGTCTCAGGTCACATCTCTGCATGTCACTCACATCTCTGGAGTCTTGGATTTGTTTTTTCCATTGAAAAACTCAGGAAGAGCACGCCGTTCAATCACGTGAATACTGGAAAGGAAAAAAAAAAAGAGGATTGGGGGAACACTTTGAAAAATAAAAATCTTAAAATTTGAGCTAAGCTTGTTTCCTTTTCAACGCAAAACTGATAAATCCAAAAACTGAGTACTACTTGCAAAAATTAATTGGCTTGTGCAAAAGTTCCTATATATTAAGAGCATATTAAAATAAAATTAAAGCTTTCGCTTTCTCACCCTCAGTACCCACTGTTGTTTTTTATTCCTACAACCCAACTCAAAAATGCTGTCCACACAGTGAAAGCTACAGATTTCATGACATTGCTGCCATAATACATCATGACTGGATGAAGAGCTACCAGGCAGAAACAGTTCTTTGGACACTGGCTGACAAAAATGACAGTCGTTAGCACTGCGACACACAGGTAGACTGTAGGGTGGGGCAGAAGACAAGGGAATTTACAATAATCAATTTCTCAGGCTGTGAAGCATCACTTCACCTTTTTGACCAGCCCTCAGAAAGTCTGTGATGAATTACAGTTTTAAAATTATTTCAGCCATTTACTCCTTTAAAAAAAAATACAAGTAACTTTAACATTTAGGTAAAGACACTGACAATTTTATATAATGTTATGGGTGATAAACAGAGTAGAGACCATTAAAAATCATCAGCCTAACACACCATACAAACACCAACAATGTATCTAGCACAAAGGTTTGAACACTAACACTGATCCATGCTCTTTCTCGTGACACATTTTAGTCCCCGGTTGGTTCCCACGTACGCAACACGCACTAGTCTTGCAGAAAGAGCACCAACAGCCTGGGAACAAAACTGAGAGCACTCGTGCTTTTGTCATCTGGAAACATGGGAACTGTCTGAACCAGACTTGCAGTGCTTAACACTATAAATGCCAAACAGTCACCTGCAAAATTAAAGGTTAATTTCTAACATGAACGAGCACACATAAGTGCACGCACACGCAATGGCTTCCCAAGTTTTACTATAACAAGATTTGCTACAAGCAGTTAATTACATAGTTTTGCATACCTCTCACCGTTCTAACCATTACAGGTTTGGAAGAGCCCACAAAAAACAGTTTCGCCAAGACAAACGCTCAAGAACGTTTGGAGCCAAGCACTGTCTGCTCAGCACCGGTGCTGGAGAGCTGGCGCCGAACTCCGGGCTCCGAGAGGGAGTGGTCAGTGGAAGGCGTGGGCGGTCAGAAGCAAAGCCCGAGGTCTTTCACCAGCTCTGCAACCGAGGGCACTGCTGCGAGGCAACGGTCCTCGCGTCCATAAAACAGGGGTGTGGCTGGCCCCGCCACTAGCACCCACCCGCGCGCTTCGTGACAAGCAGTGGTTACCGTGTAAAAGCGTTCCTGTAACCTATGAAAACCTACACAATTGTATGTTGTTATGGCCCTCCACTCTTTTTTAATTTTGGAGGAATTCTGGTTTCTTAAGTGCGTCTTTAGGCATTCTGAATCTTACCAAGTTACAAATACTAATGAGACCAAGTCACAAGTTTAAAAATAATTTAACACAATAATCAATGTAAAGAAGACCGACCTTCAGAGAAGAGCTATATTGTTCTTCTGTGTTCCAGCTTTACAGCAACACATTTAGAAGAAACATTCGAAGTTGGTTTTAAAAGCATGTAAAAAAGTTTCAGTATTATAGCCATACCTTGTGGTTTTGGAAAAAATAAAATATAGCTCAGTGAACCATCCACCCTCTTCTTTTAAATTGGCTCTTAAAGACTTCTAAATTCTATATGTATAAATGTATACGTATTTGATGTCACACCTGTCCTTCAAGAGTAATAACGTAAATCATCACTGAGAGCAAGCAGAACACCCAAACAGCACCACCAGATTCTGAGCAGGGCAGCCTCACTCAAGTTCACAACCTTCCAAGGAAAGTACTTTAACAAAGCCAACGTCTGTATGGAGGGCAGGGGTAAACTTTGGTGTGTATTTAAAAATAACAAACCAAGCAAACAAAACTCAGCCTTATAAACAACCCATCAATACCTGTGACGCCAGCTGTCACCAACCACGCTCCAGTGACACCACAGAGGGCGTGGTGATGACAAGGAGGGGCAAAGAAGGTCCATTCCCTTGAACGTTTTTACACACCCTAGGGCTCGCGTGGAAAAAGCTCCCAATGTTAACATATTTCCTATTAAAATGAAGCTATTATTGGGCAGTGAATTGAGTCTCCTTTACACATCTCCTTCAAGTTTTCAAATCATACAATAATCCATATTTTACAATTAAATATTTAAGTATTTGTCTATCTGAATAAAAACTGAATGCTCAGCTTACAAACATTTTACAACCCTACAACACAATTGGCTGTCCACCTAGAAACTGTTTCAAAGCGAACATGAAACCGCTCTCCCTCTCTCCTGGTCCAGTGGGACTTGGGACAACGGGGCACGTGGCACAGCTCAACTCGACTGGAAGGGACGCCTGCCGCCCCTAAGGAGCACGTTCGCAGATGGGAGGGGCCACTCACCAGTTGTAGTCAAACCACGAGGCGTAGCTGGGAATGATGATGTGATTGGTCTGCTCCGTCACATTGTCTTCACCAGGGTCGGAGGGCCGGCTCTGATCGCCTTTGCCGGAGTCCTCGTCTTCCTGCAGGAAAGAAGCCCGAGTTCTGGGGAGGGAGAACTACAGAGAGACACACAGCAGCTCCCATGCCTCTGATGCTGTGTCACAGACAACAGAGCTGCCCGATCTAACTTCGAGAACCAGGAACACCAATTCCAAGTGAAAACAGCCTTCCACAAGTTTCAAGGTACCTTCACGAGACATCCAGGTGACAGCAGAGTTTATTCTTACCTTTACAACACGTATATGGTAAATGTCTCACAACGAGATTAAATTTCATGATAAAGAAAGGCTGTTTCTATACTGAGGAGTTGACACTCACAGCCCTAAACTTTGTTCCCAGTAGCTTCTTACTTGTCCAGTTTCATCTGACTAGTGCCACAAATCTAAATGATTACTTCCCAAGTTACTTGTAAGGAGCTGGCTCAAGGACTCTGATAAGGCATAACTGCAAGGCCTTCCCATCCTTGGGAAGATCTACCACGAAGTGTCTGCTACAACTAACTGCATGTGCTTTATCTCGCCTACTCCTGCGGTAACAGCAGCAGGTACTACTCTTCACCACCCGCTTTGCGGACGAGAAAATGATGCACAGAACTAACAAATTATAACCAAGATATAACTGCAGGTGGCCCCTGCTAGAGCACCTACAGACTCCATCACTCCCACTGCTAAAAATTAACTCCGATTTATATCAGAATGTATATTAGGGAGGCATTGCAAACAACCCCACCTAAAGACCAGGTTTTGCTAACACAGCAGTTTCAAAATCACTGCTTCCTCTGGTGCACCACCAGGGAGACAAGAATGGTCCACAGCCAGGGAGATAGAGATTTCCTTTTGGTAAAACTCTGGGGGTCAAGGAGCACATTATTTTGGGGATGTGTTAAAAAGGAATTTAAAAATCATAATGCTTCTAACAGAATGTTTATGAAGACCCTTCTCACTCAGCATCCCGAGCGTTCAGAACCGAGGACCCTTAGCCCGCGCTCCTGCCCCTGGCCCGGCCCGGCCCTCACCTTCCCTCCTGTGGTCACTGTCTCTTCATCCTGTTCATCTGTAAAATCAAAACACAACATTCACTTAAAAAACAGGTAACACTGTCTGGGTCACTTGGATACTTAAAGGCTTAAGTAATGACAATGGACAGGGAAAAGAATATGGGGTACTAAAATGAATTCACCGAGGATCATTCAGTACATTAGAATTATATACAGAAGCACAGAGACAAGCAGACATTCAAAGCACAAATAAAAATCTCCAACGACTGGGAATTTACAATTAATTACTGCTTGGGCTCCTATCTTAGTCACGATCTTGCTTAACAGGTAAAAGCTTGATTAAGGCTCCTCCTCCCGAGGTTTGGTGAAGTGAGTAACGGCACTTTGGGCCCAGAGGAAGCGCATCCGGAGGAGGAGGAAAGGAGGTTACCGTCACTCCCTACAGACAGAGTCCTCGTAAGAGCGTTAGTACCTTCTGAGGACAGGGGACTCCAGGACCTACAAGCGGCCAGCCTTACAGAAGAACAGGGGCGCACCCAGGTGTAACTTACAGTGTGCCCCCGAGGTAGGGGAGGGTGGAGGAGGGCACAGAGGGGATAAACGGCGATGGGAGGAGACTTCGCTTAGGCCGGTAGGCATGCAACACGGATGATGTGCTGTGGAATCGTGCCCCTGACACCTGTATGATTTTGTTCACCAGTGTCACCCCAATACATTCTAAACATCAATTAGAAAACTAGGCAGCTGAGTTCCACTGTGAAAAGTGAAAGTACCAGTATGATAAATGTAAGAGATTCTGGCACAATTAATTACACTGAGTTCCGGTAACCTTTAAAAAAATTGCTATAACTGTTGGCAGTGACTTAGCCACTGCGAAGTTCAAAGAGAACATGGGAACGTCATTTTTAAAAAGTATTCATTCCACAAATATTTCCCAGAATCTGCTCTTTGACAAGCATTAATAAGTAAGCTGTCAGGACTAGGGGTCAGGGATCTACAGCCCCCAGGCCAAACCTGGCCACCCCCTTTTGTATGGACCCTGGGAACCGGCCTCTGGTTCCTCCTGGTCACTGGTTACCAACATGGGGGTGCCCTGTGTCTAGACCGCCAACAGCACAGCTTAGGAGGAACTCGGGCTTTACCTCCACAGCCTGGACCTTTGGTATGTGCGAAGCAGAGGACACCCTACATAACCAGGACCCCCCAAACCACTGGCCACACGCCCTCTATGGGGCTTCCCTGGGCGAAGAGAGAGACCCCATGGGCTGCTGCACTCCCGCTGCTGCCGGAGGAGGGCCCCGCATGTCCTCGTAATAACCGCACCCGATCTCTGAGCTGGCCCCTGCGACCCGACTGCCCTGCTCCCTGCGCAGCTGATGTATGTCTGCTGTGAGTGCACCGCCGTGCTTGGACCCCATGAGTCCTAGAGAATCGCCAAACCTGGGGATGACGGCCTGGGGGAGGCCAATCACACAGGCACGTGAAAATGGTTCTCACATTTCTTGAATGGTTAAAAAGAAAATCAATACAAGGATATATCATAACACACAAAAGTGAACTGAAATTCAAATGTCAGTGTCCATAAATAGAAGTTGTACTGAAATAAGCCATGACAATTTGCTTTCGTGTAATCCATGACACGTAATTCCATCTGCACGTAACGCAGAAATTCCATCTGCATTACAGTGGCAAAGGTGATTAGCTGTGGCAGACGCATCTGCCCACAAAGCCTAAAATATTCACTATCTGGCTCTGTCCTGAAAAAGGCTGCCAACCCCTTCCTTGGAGGGTATAAACAGAGGTACACACGTCCCTGGTTTCAAGAAACCACTGAGGGTCCTGGACTATATCCCTCCATGGATGTGGGGGGATCCCTCCATTTTGTTGACTTAATCCCATCTTTATCTAAACCATCGTCAAACCAATCTTTTAAAGTCTGATTTTCTATATTAAGACATCTCAAAAATCCATCAAATGAAATATTTAGTATACGCTGAAAACACTAGGTTCTCCTTTGATTTTATAAGTGGAATAATCAAAATTATTACTCGAGCCCTGGCTGGTGTGGTTCAGTGGATTAAGTGCTGGCCTGAGACCCAAAGGGTTGCTGGTTCGATTCCCAGTCAGGGCACATGCCTGGGTTGCAGGCCAGGTCCCCAGTGAAAGGGGTGCACGAGAGACAAGCACACATTAGTGTGTCTCTCTCTTTCTCCTTACCTTCTCCTCCAAAACTTAAATTTAAAAAGTCTTTAAATTATTACTCTATATATAAACTCTCAGGGATACAGACGTTTAAAACTGCCTCAATCTTTTTATTTCTAATTTTCTACTTACTGATTTTAAGAGACACAGAGGAAGGACGAGAGAGAGGGAAGAAAGGGAGAGAGAAACGCCGACTCTGGTGTTCCACTCATCTGCACATCACTGGTGGGTGCGTGCACGTGCCCCGACCAGGAATCAGACCCCAAACTGTGGCACATCAGCACAATGCTCTGCTACCCAGCCAGGGCCTAAAACTAACCCAATTTTTAAAAACTCCTGTCTTCTTCCCTCCTACCACACCCAAGAATTATACCTTACTTATAAAAATGTACTATATAACTTGAAAATACTAGGAAAAATATGGGATTTTCATTTTACATGGTATAGAAAACTTTAGGCTGACTTACAAAGTATTAACAATCAACAGGTTTTCAGGAGTGAACCATAGAAATGAAGACCTCAAGGAGGATTAGCAACAGGGGAGTGGGAGGAGAAGGGGGAGAAGGTACAGAAAATAAGTGGCATAGACAGTAAATAGAAAATAGATAGGGGGAGGGTAAGAACAGTAGGGGAAATACAGAATCTAAAGAACTTAAGACACGTGTTCATGAACTAAACGGGGGAAATGGTGGGGGAGGGGTGAGCAGGGTGGAGGGGAACGGAGGGAGGGAAATAGAACAAATGTAATGGCATAATCAATAAAAATAAATAAATAGTCAAAAAAACAATTAACAGATTTTTGTTCTAAAGATGCAAATTTGCACATGTAAAATAAGTATCTCAGTGAGATTTTAAAACATGCTTTAACTATAACAATTTCTTTAAAACTCAAAAATTCTGATTTAGGTATAATAGTATCACACTTGCTAATTTGCAGTAAAAGATTACTTGGTGAGAGGGGCAAGTCACTAAAAAGAATGGATTACAGGAAATCACATTCCCTCGTATGTTAACGACCCAAAGCCCAATGGCGCAGACGACAGCCACAGTCGGTGTCTGCTGGAAGGCAGGGCATCTGAAAGCAGCCTCTCAATAAAGACAAAGACACCAGAGGTGATACGTTAACATAGAAAACACAGAAATGTACAGATTTTTTGGTTTTTACCTAGATCGGCTACAGTTCCTCCTTTAACAGGTGTATTTTCGCTATCTTTCTTTGGATTTACTAGAAGAAAAAGAGAATAGTATGTCACGGGGAAAGTTCTATTTGTTTTAGGAGGATAGGTTTAAAAATCCATGAATCTCACTGCAACCGCCCCATCCCTCAGTCCTCACCTTCATATAAAAACCACAATCCCCGTGGAAAAACAAACCACTCACTTGATGTGACTGACATACTGCAATTATGATTAATTACCAATGGACCAAAACGATTTCATCGTAACCGTAAACAATACAGAGCAAAACATAAAATGAACCTTTCAATTCTGTTCCTAAAAACACGTTATGAAGTTTTTTGTGCATTTGTTGATTCCCATTTTGGGGCCATTCATACAGAGAGATGAACTGAGGGGGAAACTGGTCCGTCTTATACAATCTGTGTACTTGGACACATACGCTGAGGATTTCAAATCTCATATAAACATTATTCATTCTGTCCTTAGCTCTGTACCTTTCTCATGTGACAGTGAGCCTGTGTGATGTTCCACGTGAACATTTTTAGTTACATTACATCCCTTTCATTTCTAATAGGTCCAGTATCTGGGTGTAGATTACAAAGTACCTAGCCCTATATTGAGCAAAACTATTCTACAATGAGCATTTTACACTTATCATATACATGCATGTAATTATTTAAGAGTCTCTCAAATTAAAACTGCTAATGGATATACACATTTTAAAATGTAATAGATATACCCAAACTATGTTATGTGATTTCACCAATTTATACTTCCATCGATAACATTCAGGAATTCCCACTTACTCAAAACATTTGTACTTTAGGAATCATCTATTTTCTAAGTTTTGAACATTTGATGAGTGCAAGTTACTTCAGTACCGTGTCTCTCCTTGGTTGGTGAGGCTGGGCCTCTCCTCACACGTACTGGACCTGTGTAACATTACCAGGACACAGCACTTCGCCCTCTACTCTGGGGTTTACGACTCTTCATACTATTAAAGGTTCCAACTCCTTGCTAAATGGGTAACGAATATCTTCTCCAAGGCTCACACTTCTTTCAAGCACATTGGTGTTTGAAAAAAATCGCTTTTACATTTCTGTTTTATTTTTTTATAGTATTTTTATTTTTTTTAGTATTTTAAGCCAACATTTAATTTTTATATATATGATACAAAGAATACTAACTTTTACCAAAAGTATTTATGAAACAATTTGGTCTTTGCAAACCAACTTGAACCACTAGGTTCAACGTACATGAAGTTCACGAATGTATGCATACAGGTCTGTATGTAAACTGGCCGCTCCACTCCACCGACGGACTCAGCCATCCCTGCATCCAGACCTTACTATGGACACTACTATAGCTTTACAGACGAGGCGTCTGTCAGGACCACTGCCACCTGCACGGCTCTTTAATTTCAAAGAATAGTTTTCATTATTTTTATAAATATTCTTTCCCATGACCCATAAAATACAACTGTGTGGTTTGTAGGGCCCCATTTTATACAACGCAGTGATTTTTAGAAATGCTTATTACATATTACCGATGCCTGTATTTCATTACAAGAGACAGGCAAGTGCATTAATTATATTATGATAAATTTCCCATATTTTTATCTCAACTACACAGCAGTTATTCTAAATAAAGTTGATAATTAAGGATATATCTTAAAACACCCACAACAACCACCACAAAAATGTAGCTAAAGAAGCAAACAGAGAATAGAAAACCCGGGAACAGAAAGCAGAGCAGTGGTTGTGGGGTAGGTGTGGGAGGGGTAACTCAGACCCCAGTAAGTACCGAGGTTCTTTCTGGGGGAATGTAACTGTGCCGGAATTAACACAGTGGCAATGGCTGTACAACGTAATAAATACACAAAAAAACACCGACACGCACACTTTTAAATGGTGAAGTACATCTTATTTACAACTGTGATATATAAAAAAAGAAAATGTAAGTTTTACAAGAAAACAAAAACAGTGGGGCTAAAATAGAACATTAAAGTCATGGATTAAATCAAAAGAAGGGAGGAAATAAGAGAGGAGGAAAAAAAAAAAACCAAACCAGCTCAATAGTAGACTTACACCCAACCACACCAATAATTATACCACATTTAAGCGGGTTACATACTCTGATTTAAAACAGAAAATGTCTAAATTAGGGGGGGGAAACAAGCCTCAGTACTATGCTGTTTAGAAGAAAAATGGTATGAACAAACAGGCTGAGAACAAAAAAAAAGATGCAAAAGAGATGTAAGTGGAAAACATAAAGCATGAGAAAAAACGTGAGCAGGGCGACATGGGCCTGTTGCACAACGAAGGGCTAATAAAAATACAACGAGAAGCAGGAAAGCACGGGTGTGACAGGTGCCGCCTCACTGTCAAAGAACCCAGACGTCAAGACCAGCACCTTCACAGCACAGCACACAGAGCCGGGACACAAGCAGGCCGCCGGGCAGGCACCATGACACTAAATGCACGTGCCCTCAGCAGAGCTTCAAAGCAAATAAAAAAGTTTAACAGGAGAAAAGGGAAAAATTGACAAACCACCAATCTCGGTTAAAAGGATGTGACATCCTCTCCCCGGTAACTAACTGATTTAAACACATAAAACCGTACAGACATAAGCACTCACTTCTTCTCCCCATACAGAACCATCTACTGATTTTGTTGGAATTTTAAAAACATGAATTTTAAGGCATCACTAAATTTACATGAAGTTTTGGCCAAAGTGTACATTCTCAATGAGAGTACACACCGTTTTTTGGAAGCACCACTTCCTCCACGTTGGGCACCGGCGTCGGGTCTTCCATATCCTTGGTAAGATCTTCTTGCTCGTCTTCCTCTTTCTGGCTCCTGCGCTTCCCATAAATACTAGATTGGCTAAGACACAAAGAGTATATGAAAAATAAACAATACTATTTATAGCGGACAATTTCAGAGGCTTACCTTCCTTGTTCTTAGAATCTATGCTCAAAATCACTTTAAAAGACAAATAAAAAATTAGATACACCCCCCCCAAATCACAGCCAAAAGGAAAATAAGAGTTATTAGGCATAAGAAACAAACAGAGCAACCCAGCTACACATATTGCAGACCATATCCAAAAAGAGGCTTAAATTGGTGTAATAAAAGAACATCTGCTAAGGAAATACGGCACGTATTTTCCTGAGATCATAAACAATCAGTTAGATAAAAAATTTTGTCAAAGACATAAAAAACTGTATTTTCTCAGCTCTTTGGATCATTTAAATACCAGGAAGTACAAAGCAGAATCACTCAGGATGATACTAATTTGGCACTAATTCTTTTTGTAAAAATTGTCATTGCTTTCACCAATTCAATAAAACCAGCATTTATTTTAAAAATACATGCCAGAATGCATGTTAAAATTCAAACAAGAATGGCCTAACTGGTGAGGCTCAGTTGGTTGAGCGTCATTCTGCAAAGCGCAGGTCACTAGTCTGATTCCTGGCAGGGCACATGCCTGGGCTGTGGGTTCTGGTCCCTGGATGGGACATGTAGAAGAGGCAATGCATGTGAGAAGCAACCAATCCATGTTTTTCTCCCTCTTTCTCGCCCCCCTTCCCCTTTCTAAAAATAAAAATCTTAAAAAAAAAATTTCAAGCATAGAACAATTCCTTACTGTGAGGAATTACAAGGGACATAGGACAGAAATTACTACCTAATTCATATAATGTGACTGATACCGATGCAAAGAAAAGAATAAGAGTACCAAGAAACCAAAACTCGGACAAACAGGCCAGATTGAAGCTGACAGTGAAGCTGAACCTTGGGAACGGTAACAAGTCACAACAGCTCGGGCAATGTTCAGAGGATGAGTAAAGGCATAAACATGTAGGAAAAAGCCCCTTGCTGGGGGGGGAGGGGCCAGGCAGTAACCTGAAGTACATGGACGAGTGGGGGCAGAGTGCAGAACATGAGACGGGCCGGCCTGCGCCCTCACACCCTCGCACCGCCACCAGGGCCCTCACACCGCCATCAGGGCCCTCCCAGTTCTCTTCTAAGAGGGACAACATGTGGGCACAGGTACGTCTGAAGTGTACCTGTTAAAATTTTCAAATAAACATTATACAACAATTTTTTAAAGGCTTATGCACCTAAAATGGTGGGGAGATAAAATATAGAAGAAAAGATGCAGAGAAGATGAACAAAATCAACATTGGAAAATAGGTTTCAGTGTGTTTTGGTTAAACACAGACTCCCTAAGGGAAAACTTAAAATGAGCAAAGGCCTTCTCATTAGATTGCAGGTAGAGGCCCTGGCTGGGCAGCTCAGTCAGTTAGAACATCATCCCAAACACGCCAAGGTCGTGGGTTCAATTCACAGTCAGGACACATACAAGAATCAACCAAAGAATGAATGATTAAGTAAAACAACAAATCTCTCTCAAGTCAACTGAAAATAAAAAGGCAGATATAGTCAACGAAAGGAGACATATCATTTATTTTGGGAACCCCAATTTGGTGGGTTTTACACTCAAGAGCAGAGGCTAAATGTCACCACCGTGAGCGCCAAAGATGCTGCATCTCGGTTCAGCAACCACTAGCATCCTGGCCCCACAACTTAGTCCCCAGGTGAGGAGAAGGGCACAGCAGATTTCAAGATGTCTTTGCAAGGACCTCAGGTCACTCTGAAATTTCTGAACACCAAGATTCAGATTTGAAATTTAAGAAATAAGGTTACCCTCAATAATAACTGAAGAAAAGCCCTGGCTGGTGTGGCTCAGTGGATTGAGCGCTGCTTTGATTCCCAGTCAAGGCACATGCCTGGGTTGCAGGTCAGGTCCCCAGTAGGGGGCGTGCGAGAGGAAACCACACATTTGTGTTTCTTTTTCTCCCTCCCTTCCCCTAAGAATAAATAAAATCTTTTAAAAAATAAATAAATAAAAATTAAAAACCCTGCAGAAAAACCTGCTTTTATCAATGTTTATATCACAATACATACCTGGCTCATTAACATTATTTACAAATTTTACTTAAAATATTCTGAGCTATGGATTGAGCGCGGGCCTGCGAACCACATGATCGCGGTTTGATTCCCAGTCAGGGCACATGCCAGGGTTGCAGGCCGGTTCCCTGCAGGCCAGTTCCCAGCAGAGGATGCACGAAAGGCAACCACACATTGATGTCTCTCCCCCTCTCTTCTTCCCTTCCCCTCTAAAGATAAATAAATGAAATCTTAAAAATAAATAAATAAAATATTCCGAGCTGGAGAACCCTGAAATTATTAAGTACTGTCTACCATTTACTAGGTATCTACTTTGGGCTGGGCACTATAAAGAACGTAAGTTACAGGCTCATGTTCTGCTTGAATCATTTTGATCATAAATAGGACAGGTAATAAAATCAGAGAAAAAGGCATTGACACTAACAATGGTGAGTCTTTAAAAAATTTTTATTTATTAATTTAAGAGCGAGACAGAGAAACATCGGTTTGTTGGTCCAATTATTTCTGCATTCACTGGTTAATTTTGTATGCACCCTGACCAGGGATCGAACCTGCAACCTTGGTGTATCTGGAGGATGCTCTATCCAACAAGGCCACCTAGCCAAGGCCCAGAGAATGTAATTTCTTAAATTCCTTACCAACCTTGCTTCTCAATATAAACTCAGATGCAGGAAAAAAAATTGTATTCAGGGCACCTTTGTATAAACACAGCATGAGAGGTCCATCAGGTAACCAACCCTAACGAGATGAGTTTTCAAAGCAGACTTCTACTGTAAAGGTAAAAATCCAGAAAGGCCTTTGGACTTTAAAATTTTAAGATTAAGTGCCCTTTGAACCCTGCTACAATTCTTACCCTTTGAATCCTGCTACAATTCTTACCCTTTCTTCCCACTCTTCTTCCGCGATTCTGTGGGTGTGGGAGGTGGAGGGGAAGGCGAATGTTTCCTCTTTCGAGCATTAGCTGATGCTTTTCTATCTCTTCTCTCTGGACTTCTGACTGGCTAGGAAGAAGTAAATGGAAATAAATATCAGCCAGCTTTGCTGACTCTCTACAAACTCTTGCCCAAAGGTGAATTTTCACGAAGATAGTAACAAACGCACAAGCTCAGAGCAAATCAAAGGCACGTCACGAAGCGTCCTGGGCCACCAGAAGTCTGGAGACTTCTTCCCCTGTCCTTTCACGTGATACATCACCAACGGGAACGTCGGCACTATCCTCAGGCACTCAAACTAGGCTACGAAACAGACACGCCCAAGTCCCCACGACTAATAAGGGCTCCTATTCACACTCTGGCTCCCAGGTGGGAAAAGAATGTCCAGTAACGACTAGAAAGAGAAGGTATTCCAGAGAGTGACGAGTCACAAATTACCTTACAACACGGTATGGACTCCTGGGACCCGTCAGTGTGTGAAGACACAAAACGGGGGGGTTAAGGGGACAGGCCTTATGTTCCTTAAACTAGCACTCCTGGTTTGTCTTGTTTTTTTTTTTGTATGAGGGGAAAAAGAACCCCAAACACCCAAAGTGGAGAACTGGAAAACCGTGTGGGCTAACCAAGAGAACCTAGTGCATGCGCTACACTTAATACTTGCTTGCGTGAACTGGGCCCATGGCAGCCACCCTGAACCTCAATTTCCTCATCTGTCAGAAGGGGATGTTAGACAAGAGCACCTCCAAGATCCCATCTGGTAACCTTGACAATGGAGGCTTGGGTGTGCTCTTCAGCTCTGGGCATCTCAGTTTAGCCATTAGTTCAGCAGAGTAACAATAAATCACCCAGGAGAAAGGGGTCTCGGGAACCCCAGTTTGGAGGTGCACCTGCAGAGCTGTTCAGGCATCTGGAGAGGCATGCAGAACAGCCCTCCAGTGAAGCAAAGTGACGGCCACGAGGGGCGTCTGGAGTCAGCTGGTGAGGCAGGGGAACAACTGCTTAGATTTGTTTTACAGTTTTTCTAATTTCTAAAAGCTCATTTCATAATAAATTATAAGAACCACACAGAAAAGTGATGACAAGCTCTTTTTGCAGTAAAAGAACAGCCCCTGGGGTAAAGAAGCACTTCAAAAGAGAAAAACATAAAACCTATTGTAATGTTAATAAAAATACAAAGACAGGCTGAATGAGCTTGTGAAAGTATACCAGAAACTACTCCTAACACCCCAGTAAAGGTAAAATGAGAAAGAACTTTGATACAAAAGATGTAAAATGAGATTGTGATTTGTGATTTAAAAGTCAACCGAGGGAAGTAAAACTACCACTATTTGCAGAAGACATTAGACGACCCTAAGCAACCCACAAAGCAACTGCCAGAGCTCACCAACAAGTCCGTCGGGGTTGCAGGGCACACGTCAATGCGCACAAGTTGACCTGTAGATGGTAACTACCAATATAACAAGGCGGACCATGAAAAAAAACTAAACCAAAATGATCCAAATAATTGCCATCTGAGGTGTCCCCACCCCCCAAAAATCAAATAAAATATCGATTAAACATTAACCTTCTCTGATTCACTCACACCCTTTACAACCATGCTTCCTTTCAGCGACTCTGTAACATCAATGGGAGACCCGAGGCATCTCATGATCCTATACGTTTTGAAGAAAATCTAAACTATGCAAATCTTTGATCTAAAGTTCAATTTTTAAAGGCATATTAAATCAATTTTTATATAACCCCCCCTAAAAATAAGTGAATAAACAAGCCATTTAAATCTGAATAGGGGAGGATAGGGATAGGACAGTTTAATAACTTGATGTGAACATTAGAATATTTCTGATGACACAAGTTTTGGCTTGAAATGCATTAAGGGAAAAAAATACACATAAGCATATCAGAGGGGGAAAGCTAAAAAAAAATTTTCAAAGTGAAATTCCAAAGTAGAAACAAGCTAAAAATGAGAGGACATAAAGAAGACCCAGTTTTAAAATATTCTTAAAAACAAAGAATATACACAGTGTGACAAAGGAGTTTAGTAAGAAAGGCACAAGATAAAACGGGTGTGGAAGAGCTGCAGTCCGAGTTAAGGTTAGGGGACACCTGTCTCGCCCTGGCCAGCAACGCCAGGCGAGCCTGGGCTGCGGCCGGGCCTCTGCTTGGGGTGCATGGGAGAGGCAACCGATTGATGCTTCTCTCTCACATCGATCTCTCTCCCCTCTCTCTTTCTCCCTCCCTTCCCCTGCCTAAAATAAATAAAAAATCATTTTTAAAAGGGTATCTATCTCAAAGATTTTTCAAAAAGCTAAAGCAGAAACAAAACCCCCAAACATAAATATCCCCACTGAGACGGGCTCTAGCATTACAGGTCTCTACCTAAGCATCAGGAACCCAACGCAAGCATAATTAAGCCTCTTTCTTCTCGGCCGCAGGTCCTTCCTGAGTGCCACGCCTCTCTCAAGTTGTGACTTGGAAAGAATCCAGGATAAAGATGTAAGTGGTTGGACTTCTTACAGCACGAGAGTGATAAATATCAAGTCCTCACACCTCAGAAAAGAACTGCACTGTAACTGAGGCCTTTAAGGCCTATACTTTGTACTAACTATCATATGTATAATTAACAAAGCTATTAAAACTAAAGTTTTCCCTTGGAAAACCACAACAAAGTCAAACCACCCTGCGGTGGTATTCGGTCTATCACAGTGAAAACTCAGATCTAGGGAACATAACCAGCTACGCCACTGTCACCCTGCGTGGGCCGCTTTCTCTCTTAGTGGCCCAGAATTCTCGTGCCCCTTTCCTGGGGATACCAGCTCCTGAAATGGCTGTTGTGGCTACTTAGTGACTTTCACATGTACTTGATGGCTGATGCATCTCGGTTTGTATGTGACAGTTTATGAATGAATGAATATTTGAGAGCATTCAGGCCAAGAAAGAAGGAACATCTAGTGGGGAAAACTGGCACCAAACCAAATACCTCTTCATTCTTTGTTGGAATGCGCTGCCGGAAACTCACAGGCTTCCTGTTCTCATCCACCTCGTAATCCTCCTCATTCATCCATTCATTGAAAACATCCGTGTCCAAAATCCATTTGGCATGAACCTAAAACCACATCAAAGCATGAATATGCACATAACAAAATCACTTGAAAGTATTAAAAAGGTGCGTTGCAAGTATTTAAAAGAGAAGCACCCCGGGCTGGTGTTGCTCAGTGGATTGAGCTTGGGCCTGCGAACCAAAGGATAACGGTTCAATTCCCAGTCAGGGCACATGCCTGAGTTGCAGGCCAGTTTCCAGCAGGGGACGCACGAGAGGCAACCATACATTGATATTTCTCTCCCTTTCTCCTTCCCCTCTATAAATGAATGAATAAATAAATAAATAAATTAATTAATTAAAAATAAAATAAAAGAGAAGCAGCTGATTTATTATTCTAAAACCCTCAACTACACATGCACATTTAAAAACAAGATGAACAGTGACACATGAGGGCCACCGAACGACTCCCTAACCGTTTTACTCCACGTCCTTTCCCGCATAAACAGAGTAAGAAAGCCTCCCGGGTCTTGCCTGCGCGAGGTTTCGATGACCGGGAGACACCACCCCCTTTTCACTGCAGTTTTACTGAGGTGACAGAGCGTGCAGGGTGTGCACCGCGGTGGTGACACCTGCACGCGGGGTCAAAGGGTGCCCCTCGGGTAGCTCACGACCCATCACCTCACCAACGCTGACCCTTTTCTCTGTGTGAGAACACATATGCCCTATTCTGACCGCACTGCACATAACACGGGGCAGCGTCACCAGCTACAGGCACCGTGTTTTCCCCTCTCTCGGACCCCGGTCACTGCACAGCTGGTGCCGCTCGCCAGGCCCCCCTCTCCCCGGGCCCCCAGCAGCCACTTTTCTGTGGTTTCCATCCCGACTTATTCTTTTTTTTTCCTCTTAAGATTCCCCGTATGTTCTTCCATGCGGCATCTGTCTTTGGCCTATTTCACCTATCACGGCATCTTCACCTTCACGAGTATCCCTGATAAAAACAGCAGCACACGGCCAAAGACGGTCGCTGCTGTAGGCGCTCAGCAGCGCTCTAAGCAGTGGTGAGGACACTGCCGGAGACAAACCACCTGGCCCCCTCACGCACAACTGGTGCTCTACCGAGACCTTTCTGGGACAGGCCAGGTCGGGGAGGGGACACAGAGGTGAGAACCAGGTTTCCTCTCAGTCTTTTGCACAGCCCCATCTTCCACTTTCGGTTAATGTTTCTGAGTAAGATTGGTACAATGAAGAGGTTCTCTGGATGTTGTACAGATTCAGATACGCAGATGTTCACATCACAGACCAAGCCTGTCTAATACTCCTTTTTACCCAACAGTATTTCTCCAGGAAGCACGACCGGCACTGGGGCTGGATGCCGCCTCCGTGGGTGGGCGCTGTGCGCGCTGCAATTAACATGTCAGGTTAAGAACCATTAAAATGTTACCATGAGCAAAGGCAGCAGCATCTACACCTACGAAGCCCAGCGAGACACAACATGGCAACCACTAGGAGACAGTACGGACTTCCTAACAAAGATCTTCACAAAGCAAAACACCCAAATCCAAGCTGAACAGAGGCAGTAAACACTTCGCACACATGAGCACTGGTACGAATTCCACAATTTGATGCAATCCACGCCTGCTGAGGCTCTGAAGGAGGAGCTACTCTCACCTCACTGCTGACAACGCAGAATGGCAGGAACCCCACGGGACAGGCACATGCTAACAAAACTGCACATCTTCATTCACACTTGAACCCAGAAACCCTACTTCTAAAAAGCTACTGTGACAATGCACCTCAAACAATGTGAGAGTACCCATGGCTGAGGTTCCTTACCGCAGCTTCCCCTGTCTCTCTCTCCACAGCAGTGCACATTACTGGAATCCCTGAGCACAAGCACCCGGTGCAAGCAGCCTACATACGTAACACTGAAGCACGGGGCAGTTAGCAACACTGAGGATGTCCAGAAACACAGTCAGTGAAAAACCAGAGTTTACGAGGGAGATAAAAGACATGCCAACACCTACACATCTTGACAAAAGGAAACAGAGGATAAACCAGAAAACAGTAACTCTGTTCTGCAAGGGATGGTGGGGACAGAAGGACTACACGAGGAAACACACACTTTTTGGAAGCATGTCAGAATTCTACTCACACATACGTGTGCATGTGTGTGTGTGTGTATATATGTGAAGATTGTAAATGATAAATACAAAAGGGAATGAAGTGTTAAGTACAGGCAAATATGGGTAAAGGTATGCCATGTACTATTCTTGTTCCTGTAACTTTTCTTAAGTATGAAATTACTCCAAGTAAAAACTTTTTAAAAAACAGACTAGGCCCTGGCCAGGTAGCTAGGTTGGTCAGAGCATCATCCCAATATGCTAAGTCCGCAGGCTGGATCTCCAGTCAGGGCACGTATAAGAAACAATCAATGAATGCATAAATAAGTTGAACAGCAAATCCATGTGTCTCTCTCCCTCTCAGATCAATAATAAAAAAAGAGAGACTAATTTTTGATAATCCCATTTTCCTCCTATGAAATCTGAAGCTAAAATGCTAAGTCTTTCTGAAGGCCACGTCCTTAGAAATAGGCTGACCATATCCAGTGCTCTCTGCTGAAATGCTGGTTCCAGGGCTGGGATATGAAAATGACCAAGAGAGTGTGGAACACCTGTTTATTCCAGAAAGCAGAAGTGTAAGCACATACCAAATAATGCCAAAAGGTCACACTAGGTAGCTTAAAGTTCCCACCAGCCAAGTTTCAGCCGATCTGTCAAAGTGAAGAACACTGCCCTGGCTGGAGTGGTTCAGTGGACTGAGTGCCAGCCTGTGAACCGGAAGGTTGCTGGTTTGATTCCCTGTCCGGGCACCTGCCTGGGTTGTGGGCCAGGTCCCCAGTTAGGGGAATGCAAGAGGCAACCAATGGATGTGCCTCTCACACGGATGTTTTTCTCACTCTTTCTCTCCCTCCCTTCCCCTCTCTAAAAAGAAATAAATAAAATCTTTTTTCAAAACAATGAAGAACAGCAGGCACGCCTGTGCTCCCCAAGTGCACAGTGATACTACAGACCCCCGTGAAAGGGCGGGGGAGGCACATCGCCACTGGGGAACGTCAGCTGCGAGCACAGACGGATGGACGGACAGGCAGAAGGGCACCAGCAGCGACTCATTCAGCCAGGCAGGAATTACTCATAGATGAGCAAACTTCGGGACACAAAGTTAATGAAGAATATTTATATAGTTTCCAGGTATGTCTCTATAAAACATTTTTCTCCCAAAGAGAAAAATGGTACGGTTACTGTAAGAAAACCAGACAGATAACACCTTAACAATCAATCAAACTGACTACCTACGACATGGGAAAAACGGACAGTTATGTCCCTCCTATACAGAGAGGGACACAGTTCACTTACATAGTATTACAGCCAAAAATGCATAAGCATGAATATAATAATGAGGAAATATCACAAATGCAAATCCAGAGACATTCTAAAACGAAACAAAAACTGGCCTGTACATCTGAAAAATGCCACAGTCACACAAGGGAAGGTGCAGCCGAGAAACCCCAGACCACAGCAGACTGACGAGCCCTGCCAACCAACAGCGGTGGGCGACCCTGCGTGGAACCTCGGATGGGAAAACGCAGGAAAACCCACTGTATCGCTGAGACGAAAAGTGAAAATGGAATATGGGCCCTGTAGCAGGCAATTAATACTGTTTTAAGAATTAATTTCCTGAAATTATTAACAGAAATCTGGAAGAAAAGTGTAAAGTAGTACTTTCTGTATTATTCTTACACTTTCAAAATTATTTCCACACTGAAAGAATTTTTTTAAAAAGAATCTTTCACCTTCCATGGCTTTTCTGGAATTGGTGGATCTTCAATTTCCGCATCAACATCATTACTATGGACCCAAGTATCGTAGCTACAAAGGAAATGAAAAGAGGAAAAATCAATTAGACATGAAATTCATTCACTAAAAAGACTTTGATCAAAACATAAAAATGCATTTCAGGGAGACCACCAGGATCCTGTAACAGCAACTGCCCCCACACTGCTGTCCCCACCACTCTGCCGGGGGCTGCCGCCCGCAGCGACCTAGGGCAACCCCCACGCCGGTCAGCAGAAGGCAGGCTCTGGACTGCGCACAGGACTTTCACAAGGTGCCACCCTCCCCTCCGAGCACTTCCCTCACCTGGCCTCTGACCGGTGCTATCAGCCTGGCACGCCTGTGTCCCCAGTCTCTGCTCAGTCTCCACTGGCAGCTGCTGCTCCTCTCCCAAACCTCACCGACACTGGAGGACCCCCGGTTCCGTCTGTGGAGCACCCACCTTCTCAGCCGCTCACGCTCACGGTGCCCTCCTGCAGCCCCGAGGCTCCAAACAGGAACCGACCACTCACCACCTCGTGTCTGCCTCCCCTGAATGCCAGACTCATGAACCCAGCCGTCTATTCACACTCCTCGTGCAAGTGTCAGAGGCTTTGACATCTCACACACTCAAAACTCACCACACACAGTAACGCCGCCCTACCCCCACCACTGTGCTCTAGCCCAGCGGGCCCCAACCTTTCTCGCACCAGGGATGAGTTTCCTGGAAGAAATTTCTCTACAGATGGGGGTGGCAGGGAGATAGGAGGTGGAGCTGAGGTGGTAATGCAAGCTTAGCTCCACTCACCAGCCTGCCACTCACCTCCGACTGTGTGGCCTGGTTCGTAACAGGCCAGATTCATAACTGGCCATGAACCATTACCAGTCCATGGCTGGCTGGGGGCTGGGGCCTCCTGCTCTAACCAATCACCCCCACCCCAGTAAATGCCAGCTCTAGCTTTCCAGTTGTTTTGGCCAAAATTCTGGTTGCAATCTTGACTTCATTCTCACTCACATCCTGTAACGAAACCATCCACAACTTCCACCAGCCCCCCACCTTCAAAATGTGTCCAGAATCTAGCTACTTATCATCCTTCTGTCTCCACCCGAAGCCCGAGAGTCTACTTTTCACGTGGCAACCAGAGCGGGCCTTTTGAAAACCAAGTTCACACTGCTCCACTGCCCGAAACCTAACTCAGAGTGAAAGTCAAAACCCCCACAGTGGCCTGCCACGGCCTCGGGGTGCAAGCACTGTCCTCTTGCTCAGTATATTCCAGCCACTTTCTGGGGTTCTGACGGCCTCCCTTCTGTAAACAGGGCAGGCAGTGGCCACGTCATGCCCTTTAAACATGCTTCTCCCCAGCTGGACATCCATATAGCTCACTCCCTCGAGTCTTCACACCTTTTAGCTCAAGGGTTCTCGGCAGTGAGGTCCAACTCACCAACAGGAATCTTTCCATGGTTTTGAAGTAAGCAAGAAATCACACACCAAATCACAGCTTTGTCAGTGCTATTACACCAGCGGGTAGAGACCTCTAAATGAAATACATGGATGGCAACAAGCCTGGGCTTCCTGTGGCCACTACTCGAAAGTCAGTGCAGAAGTGTTTGGAACAATTGGAGCTCTACAAATCTAGTAACGGCACTCCGGTAAGTTTGCCAGGAACACTTAAATATGATCAAGAGAAAAACAGTCCCTCTGCCAATAAATTAATCATATCAGCTAAAGATTACAATGGTAAAAAAACTGGTAAGCTTACATTCTTCAAAAGTCTGGAGTAGAAAACATTACATGAACAAAAGCACAAACTACAGTTAGTAAGTGAACCAGAAAGGCCCCCGGGAAAAACAAGACTCGAGCCAGAGATTACATCACATCTTCTGTGCCACATGAAGAAAAGGTTAGCAAACAGGCTGACATGTCTTAGGGGACATTATAAAACAGGCTGGTGTGGCTCAGTAGATTGAGCGCCAGCCTGCGAACCAGAGTCATCGGTTCAGTTCCCAGTCAGGGCACATGCCTGGGTCTCGGGCCAGGTCCCCGGTAGGGGACATACAAGAGGCAACCACACATTGACGTTTCTCTCCCTGTTTTTCCCTCCCTTCTCCTCTAAAAATAAATAAATAAACAAATCTTTTTAAAAATTTTACTTCAACCTTTTACTCATGTAGCTTGTTATCATAAACTTAAGTTTCCATTTAAATATTTCAAAGGACAAATTGATTTTCTATAATAGTTCCTATAATACTAAAAGGTTTTAATAGTGCCAAGGACTACTTGAAGCCTCAAGAGTAGAAATGTCTTACAAAAATCATTTTATTTAAATATTACTATTTAAAAAAAAACTCAAAGAAACCCTGTTCATTTAAAGTATTCAATTGGGGTTTAAAAGAGGTTATCAAGCTGACCAGATTTAGTTCTAATTAAACGTACAAAGATTGTGTGTATACTCTTAAAATTCTGAACGTATATAAATACATATTTCCTTCTTTAAAAGAACCTGCATGAAAAAGCAGGTTCCTCCAACAGAGTAAGGCAAACGCAGCCCCCCCCAGGCCCCCCCCACCCCGTGCGCCCTGACGCAGAGCCATACCAGGGCGGCGCCCCCTCCCCCTGGAGTGGGTTCTCGCCGCCCCCAGATCCAACCCCAAGTCAAAGGGGATACAGAGAGCAGAGAAACACAAATATGCCACAAAAAAATGCACACTCTGGTAAACTGCAGGGCAAAGGACCGAGTTTCTTAGATAATGCACTGCAGGGTCGGGGGTGGGGGGTAGGGAGAGAACCTACAAACTAAAAAGCAACAAATATATCAACTAATCACAAACTGTGGTTGACTTCTAAGAAATATCAATCAAATGGATATTTGGTATTAAAAAACTTAGCTAATTTTTTTAATATTTGACAATGGAATGCTTACTTCTCTTTTCAAAAATGAGTCCCTATCTCTTAGAAATATGTATTAAAATAGTTTTTATTAAACTACTGAAATGGGATTTACTTCCAGTAACGTGGGAAGCCGAGAAGTGGACGTGGGTCCAGGTGAAAGAAGACCGGTTCGCCATGAGACCCCACGAGGCAGGCCCCCACCCGCGACAAGACGACAGGGAGATGGGAGCCAGAGCAGCTCCCCCGAGGGTCAAAAGAGCTTGGTACCTGGAAGCTCGTCCTGGTTCCCACGTGCCCTGGGCAGGCATGAGACTACGAAAGGGCCAGAATTTTCCGGAACAGCAAACACACCAGTTTATTAAGATAAAGCCATGTGACTATATGAATTCCGTAACTTAAGAAGACAGCTGATAAAAGACTCAACTCGGTGAGATCAATAACAGGGACCCTGGCTCACAGGGACACCACCTCTCTGCCGGGTGTCAGGGCCGACCTTACCTGTCCGGGTAGAGCCCCCAGTGCACCAGCACCTGCTTGTCTCTCCTCATCACCGGCCTCAGCCATTCTTCTGAAAGGGAAAAGAAAACACGTTAGTCAAGCTGACAAAAATAAATAAACAAGCTATTACTTAGACTTAACCTCTACTCAAAGATTTCGCTTGCTGAAATGCCCCACCCAGAGTTTCCTCATGACTGTGATCTACCACCTGTGAAGGGGAAGTTTTCCAGCCATGGACTCAGACTGAACAGATTCCAGGCCTATCAGCTATTACTCTCGGCAAAACCACTGTCAGGTGCAGCAGGACACTCCCCGCCCCCCACCCTGCCCCCACTCCCACCCGATCGCCATCGCTGTGTCTTCGCTGCGGAGTTTCCTCTGCAGGACCCACCCCTTCGTCTGAGGCTTCGAGGTCACCTCGTACCTTTTGAGGTGGAAGTCAGGCCTCAGCGCCTCGATTCGAGTCCCGTCGATCCTCCTCTTCCTGCAGGTCCTTCTCTGGCATCCAGCAGTGCTTTATGGCACTGCATCTAAGCTTTTACCCACAACACTATTTGCTACTCATTCTCTAATGGCTGGTTAATTTAGCCCTCCCAACCAGACTGTAAGCAACATGATCAAGACAGGTATTTTCATTTTCAAGGTTCCTCACCTAAGACAGGCGCAGACTCATGCAGCCGGATGACTCCTACTGACTTGACTCACGCTTAGGTAACACTACATTTGTTACGATGTATTTCTCTGACAGCCTAGAGTTAGCTTATTACATTTGATCCGAAGAGGGACCTAATGAAGTCCCTTGAAACCCAAAAAACAGCAAAACTTAACTAAGAGAAGTCAGCTAAATGAAACTGGCTTTTCACTGACCATTTATTTCAACATGAATCAGCCCCTTCACTGGCTGACGTCACGACGTCCACTTGCCTGAGCTCCCTGTCCAGCATGCAGCTGCTCAACTTACTATATCTTACTATCCCGAACATGTAAAGGAAGAACCAGGCCCTGTTCCTTAACCTGCACCCCAAAATGGCCAAGGGAAAAGTGAGAGCAAGGCTGGGGACCTGCCAGAACACAATCTGTTTAAAATATACTGGCTGTCCAACGTGTAAGAGCTGCCTGTGGGCATGAAGTCGACCTCAAAGGTCGTGCGGCTTTAGGAGGTAAGGATGAAAATGTCCCTCCTTTCTACAGCTGATTGTGATAGAGACTGAGGCCCTGCCTGCCCCTGAAAATCTTTGCAGCAGCAGATAGTAACTAAAGGTTAGAAATGTGAATCATGCTCTTCCCAGAGATGATCACAGAACCAATAAAAACCCTCACAATTCTGAGTCAAAATTAGCCCAAAGTTAAAACAGAGAAGTAACTTTTACAACAATGAAAAGGCAAATAATACAACTAAAAAGTGAGAAAAGGATCTGAACAGGTTATTTCTCCAAAGATTCACAAACGGCCAAAGAGCACATGGAAAGACACTTGGACTAAGTAACTAGGGACACGTAAACCAAAACCACAGGAGATACCGTCTGACACCTACTGGGCTGGATAACAGGAGACCCGACCTTTCAGAGGGCTGAGTGAGGGACTGACTGGTCTCCTCTGACTTGGAGCACTGCTGGAACTGGCTTAGTTCTGACGTCTGGGGAACACGGAGGACAAAAGGGTGCCCGGCAGCTTCCGCAGAACCAGCAAACCAGGAGGGCCCAGGACAGAGCCCGGCTCAGCTTGCTGCAGCCAGGACAAAGCACCCAGATCCCAACTCCTCCCATGGGAGGAAATCAAGGAGTAGAACGTGCATCCCCTTCTCTGGCCTTTTGGGTGGCTGCCTAAGGGGCAGATTTCTGTCTCAACGGACTCAGAGTGCTGATGGGGAACCAGCACACTATGGAGGCAGAGACCAGAAGAAGAGTTTGGCAGCTCGCTCCAACAGAGAACTTGTGCTTCAGCAGCAGACACTGGAGAGAGCAGGAGATAAGCTCTCGAAAGAAAGAGCAGCGAACCTCTCTAACTGGGAAATTATACACTCAAGTCCTGAAAGCTGCATCCTAGGAAGACATTTGAGAGATGCCTCGAATCTCAAGCCAGGCCATAAAAACTGGGAGAGGTGGCTGTTTTTGCAAATGCACAAAACACATCGGAAAAGAAGATGCACTAAGAGAAATGGAGAAATGACCCAGGGAAATAATATAAATCTCAAATACCAACCCTAAAAAAACAAAAACAAACAAAATCAAAGATCTAAGGACTGCCCAACAACGCAAAATAATCATTTAAAAGAGACTCAATGCACTACAAAATAGAACTAATCAAAGTCAGAAAAATGCACGAGCAACATGAGAATACCAACAAAGAGTTAGAAACTACTAAAAAGAAACTGAATAGAAACTCTGGAACTGGTAACAACCGAACTAAAAACTTCACTAGAGGATTCAACATCAGACCAGATCAGGAGAAAGAATTAGCAAAGTGAGAGGCTGTCACCTGAAATGACCCAGTCAGATGAACAACAATAAAGAACAGATAAGCCTCAAACACTTAACATTCATCTACCTTATTTATTTTGAGTACAATGTAGTCTTCTTCTTCTAATTAATATCTCAATTTTTTAATTTTCTTTTTCATCTCGGAGAAAGTACAAATTCTTTCTGCTAAAACCAAAATTCAACCCATGATCTTACACCAATCCCCTATATCCCTTCCAGGTTTCAACTCATATATTATGAGCTTCAATTTACTTCTGCTCTGCCCAGAAATACACTATAAAGACATCACCGGAAAGACAAAGCCTAGGGCCCCTGCTGGGAGGTCCCCTTCCACCTTCTTTTCTTTGCCATACTTTCTGAGATAATGGTTATCTTCCACCAACTTGCTCTCTCTTGCAAATTACCGGAATTTCATTATCAGAAGTTATCCATTATTTCTTGGCAAATCCAAATGCCTTGTCTCAGCCTCACTCTGTAGGCCAATTCCACTGCCTGCCTCTTGCATTTGAAATGCTTTCCTTTCCTTACTTTCCCCTGAATTTTAAGATATGGACCACATTGGCTTGCATTTGACTAAGATCCTTTATTCTCCAAGTATATGGATTTATCCCATCCAATGATAAAATTTTCACTCAGCAATTTAATCCAGAGCTTTCCAGTGGGCCTCTGACCAGTCTCCTTACAGCACAGGTGGCAAATCTGCCTGCAGGCCAAGTCCGGCCCTCCGCCTTGTTTTACCCAGCCATTCACCTTGTTTCTAACCGGCAGCAGCACCGCGTTCCCTGCCCCTAGTTAAGGAGCAGTTACATGTACACAGTCCTAAAATTATATTTGACCCTTTGAAGGCAACCATGAGGCTGATGTGGTCCCTGGTGAAAAAGAGTTTGACACCCCTGCCTTACAGTAAACATCTCAGAAATCAGCTTGCAGGTGAATTTTCCTCTTCACAAAAAATGATCAATACTGTCTTCTTTCTGTTCATCCACCAAATAAAAATAAAGCTCTTTAAATGTGGACTCAGTCCTCTCACCCACCTGCCCTCATCTCCTACTATCTCAAGACAAAAAGCCCAACTTCATTTACCATTTGTTCTTTCTCCAAGTTTCTAACACATCACCCTCTCTGCTTTTCTTATTTGGTACCTGCTTCTGGTATGCCAAACTCAAATTACTCTTACTAGTATCTTAAGATTGATTAAGCACCACCTTTTAATTTAAATTTTAACTAATCCTCACAAAAAGTCTATTGTTCTTTCAAGGGTTTTACGACATGATTTTTAATGAGCCATGGCTGGTACTGTTACCGTCTACACACTTACCCAAAGCAAACTCTCATTTACCTGACTGCCATTTATTCTAAGGAAAATCCCACAGGATTTTAATTTAAAAATAACCTTCAATATGTTAAAAATTAAATTTAAATGCTATCTCCTAATGATTACTTCAACTTCTGGTAACAGTACCAAGCAAACACCAGTAAACTAGGTTGTACTAAACAAACAAAAAAACCCCACGTGAATAAGGAATTACTAAGTAGCTAAGATGTAACAACTGCAGTTCAAACCTTTTGTAAAAGGCAATTATTTTCAAAAAGTTCACAATCTAAGCATTTACATCAGCTTTATTAGAGAAACCTTATTAGAGAGTTAAGCCAGCAACAGAATCAGTATTCCAACATACACAGCTATCCACCACCTCCCCCTAGTGGCAACCAGCGGCTACTACCTAACAGGCCAAAACCAGAAACACTAAAGGCAGGGTGAGGTTTCTCACTTTATATAGAAACGCGTAACAATCACAGAGCTAAAATTCTGACTGTACAAGTAAAATCAACTTTCAGCTATCACAATTAATGACAAGAAGACCTAAATATAATAGCTAAAACTATAAAACTCTTAGAAGAAAAGTTAGGTGTAAAGCTTCATGACTGATTTGACACCAAACATACAAACGAGCAAGCAAGCAACCAACCCAACAAGCCAACTTAACCTCTTATCATTGTTCTCAGTATCTGTGGAATTCAGCAATGTCCCCCTTCTACTTCTGACACTATTTGAACAGTCTTCCTTATCTCTTACTTGTTTGCAGCACAATTTATTAGTCTTCTATAAGTCTTTCTCAGAACCACTTGATACTGCTGAGACCTTGCTGTTGTATATTTTGTAGTTCATTAATGTTTGCTCATATTTATTTCCTTTATTCTTTAGCTTTAATTTGATGTTATTTTTCTAATTTCTTGAGAAAGATGTGTGGACCAAAGATTTCTCAGTCTTCCTTCTTCCCTAATATACACACTTAAAGATGTAAATTACCCTCTGGCTATAGCATCAGCTGCATTCTAAAAAGTTAATTTTCTTACAATTTATTAATTTCATAATTATTCATATCCAAAGATTCCCCATTTCCACTGTAATTTTTTCTCTGATCCATGGATTATATGGCAATATATTTCTTTCTTTTTAAAAAAACTTATTATTTTTTATTCTTAGAGAGAGGGAGAAAGAGCGGGAGAAGCGTTGGCCGGCCGCCTCTCACACAGCCACACTGAGGACCAGGCCCACAACCCAGGCTGCACCCTGACCAGAGCTGAACCGGCGACCTTTCGATTTGCGGGATGATGCCCAACCACCCAAGGCACACCAGTCAGGGCTACAGCAATGTATTTCTTAATTTTCAAGGATATGGAAAAGTGTCTGCTAATCTTTGTTACTGACTTCTAGCATACCCAGACTGGTAAGAAAAACTCAGCACAAGGTAATCATCAGCTCAAATATGATATAATTTGGCTTCTTATATAAATATCCTAAAAGCATATGCTGTGCTTAACAGAACTGACCTCTCTACAGGAGAACTTCCTCAAACTAAAGTGATTCACTTGATGCATTAATAATTCACATTTTGTTTCCCAACTTTCCAACCTCTGAAAGAATGAAAGTTGCCACAGGTCTAGTGACCTGTAGCTGCGGACTAAACCAACAGGAGAGCGAGGCTGAAGGTCAGAAGCTAAGCCATCATCAGTTCTCCCAACTCACACCGGAGGGGCCCTGTTTCGACCAGAGCCAGAAGGCCGGTCCTCACCAGAGATGCTCCTCCATCTTGCCATGTTTCTTAATTTTCAGAACAGAAGAACATGGCAAACCTTAAATAAGTTAAAACACAAGGCATGCCAAGACTTAACATCCAGATAATAATAACCAGCAAAGAAATAGAAGTCTAATGATTAGAAAGTTGGACATCAAGAAATTAGTTTACAGAGCCTGATTTTAATAAAATCATAAATTTAAATGACCTGTGATTTTAATACTTGCAACTCTCTCTCTCTAAAACAGGTGGTTATATTGTTCAAATCTCTGCTGATACAATTTAAAATCCTTCTCTTATCCAGTGAAGGATAAGTTTATCAGTCCACGACCAAAAACTAACTTACCATCTTCTTGGGAGGCAGGATACGGATAAATGTGGTGGGAAGCTTTTGACTTCTCGTCGGTAAATGTCCCCTGAGAAGCAATAAACAAATAATGTAAAAATAAAGCCCATGGCCAACAAACTGTAAGATGCAAGGTGCAAAATGCCTAAGAATTATAGAGATACTGTTTCACTCACATATTTAAAGTATTATTTTAAGACTACAACATTTTTATTCTTTTTAGTCAAGGAAAGAGATAGGGATTATAAGAGCAAACAAGGGGGGGTGGGCTGGGATGGGAGTAAAAGACAGAAAACTGTACTTGAAAAATAATTAAATAAAAAATAAAATTAAAAAAAAAAGAGCAAACAAAAATTATCTACAGAAAGTTACATTGTTCTGTAGGAAAATAACCCAAGTGCCCTTAGCTAATTGTCTCTAGTTAACCTCATCAGTAATATGAATACTTCTAATTCTTGAAGTTACTACAGTCACCATGAATTATCATGAGTATATGAAGTGACGCAATGCAGGTTCATGGCCGTGAACATACATAACTGAGGCTACGTACGTACAGAATGGACGCTGGCTTGGCCCTAGCATGTACACAGGGTAAGGCAAACACAGGTTTACAGTTGTTTGTATGGAAAATAAGACAATATTTAACACGTGACACGAGAACAAATTCTGTGTTTCACACACAGACAACCATAAACCTACTTCTGCCCCACCCGTGTATGTTACTGTTGTTCTAAGTTATGTTAGAAAAGTGGATGATACAAACGCTGAAGTTTCAGCTAGAACGCAGCACAGTGTAGGCCCAGAACGCGACTTGGACGCCAGGTAAACACAGAAGTGCGCCACCTGCAGACCATAAGCATTATGAGACGTCTTAAAATCAGGTGCAAAGAGCACCTTTACCAATTTCCTGAATTTTGCCATCAACCCTGAGCATTTATTAATCATTAACATTAGAAAAATATAATAATGCTCTTTTCAGCTGGAGGAAAATTCTAAAATTTAAGGCTACATTAAGGTGAATTAGCTACCAAACAGGGCAAGACATTCTCCATCACCAGAAGCGTCTGAGCACCCTTCCGAATAGCCACAAAAAAGGCTGGAAAGGGGACGCAGCACTTCATGTGCGAGGAGACAGAGCAGCATGACGTTCAGGCCTCCAGCATCTTAGAGACGTCAGACAGGCCTGGGTTTACACTCAGCTGTACCCTTCTGTATCTGCAGAATTTTTTGGCATTTCAATGTCTTCTGTGAAACAGAGTGGTAACAAGTAATACCCACTGCACAGGAATTTTGTTAGGACTAAGTTAACAGATGCAGCGAGCTAACAATGGTGACAGATGCACAGTAAGAGCGCAATCAGTGTGGTTATTAATGCATTTTAATGCCTGAGTGGAGGCTGACCGAGAACATTCAACAGCAGCACTATTATTAGCTTCCAAGGTCTCCTCTCTGAGAACCTATGGAACCAGAGGACCCTTACAGACCTCTGGAGTCATTCCTAGAAAACAAGCCCTAAAGTCAGATTACTTACGAACTACAGCAACTCAATGTCCAGTATAAACTGCGAGAAAATATACCAACTTTGTCCAGGATCACTTGGTAGCAGTGAGTAATTTCAGCTTGATGGCAAAAACCCGTGGGCTAATTTGTTCTGTTTCTGCCCTCTGTCGTGTAACAAAGCTACCTGGACAGCAACGCCAACAAACAGTCCCAAAGAGAAAAGAAGGGGAAGTGACTGGTTCACGCATAATGCTAGTGAAATGGGGAACTGGATTTCACACTGCTAATACGAAAACACAGTGATATTACCTTGCTCTTTGGTAGGAATGTTTTATAGAGATACATAAACTACTATGTCTCTGATTGTAAGCAGTACTAGAAACCTTTGCTTTCGAAAGTTGGAAGATATTTTACTAAATGCTAAAACGTAATTTAGCTGGCGATCTCTCTTGCAGCAGAAAAAATAAAGATATTTAATGAGGCTTTTCATTTAATTTTAAGGACCGATAAAATGGTCACTCAGATGCTATTATTTCAGAAAATCATCTTCTCCACGGGTCTCCTCAGCAAGTGTATGTGACACAGGTCGCCTGCAGTTCAGACCCAGGTAGTCACAAACCTATGGCAGCCAACTGACTAAGGTCTCAACCTAAAATTACAGGAAAGAGGTGGGGACGTTGGAAGACAGTGCTGGTACATGTGAATTAAGATAGTAGTGAGCTTATGGGAAAACAGAATTTCTAAGTTACTTCTTAAATTTTTCTGTTTTTTTTTTTTTTTCAATCAGCTGCCTCTCACACACCCCCAACTGGGGACCTGGCCCACAACCCAAGCATGTGCCCTGACTGGGAATTGAACCAGCAAACCTGTCAGTTTGCAGGCCGGCGCTCAATCCACTGAGCCACACCAGTCAGGTTGCAAGTCACTTTTTTAAAAAGCCACAAACATCATAACACTTATAATAAAAGGAAGACCAGGTTTATTTGAAGTAATATCTGATCTCCTACCAACAACTGTGTCACCAACTCCCACTACATGACTTTGTGGTCATGGTGATACAGAACACACCGACTGGTGTCTTAGTCTACACGAGTGCATTTCCCAATGAGGCCATGGCGACTCTGTCCCAATGACTTCACTACATGCTGCTCTGGGACATACATGGTACTGAGTCACCGCACAATACACCTAAACTGACACAAGAGTAAGTCAGGAGATCTCAATAATGCGGGGGGGGGAGTGTGCTGCTCCAGGCTCACAGCTGGAGGGGCGGGGAGAGAGAACAAACCGGCATCCTAGAACCCAGAGAGAAAGAACTTTCATTAAACACAGATATAAACTGATATCACAAAAGACACTACAGCTGAGTCTGACCAGACGTTTACCACTACACGATGTTTCTGAAGCGATCGCGTCTATTACCTGATGTCGTTTGATGATATCTTTCAATTTGTTAGCCAGCTTCAGATCAATGTCTGGCATGAGGTAGATGTTGGGTCTGGTCAGACAATTGCTCTGAGAAAGAAGAAACAGATTTTTAATTCTCTTAGTTTTGAAATAATGTCACATTATTTATACATCAATCTAATGGCAAAAGTTTTGCACTCAAATTTGCAACTGTTCAAAATGGGAAGATGCACTCTGGTATATAAAAGAATGTAAAAGTCTTATTGTCAACATAAAACTTAGGTGTTCAGAGGCTAATGACATCACCAAAACTCTTTTCTGCCGTCAGGCATAGCTGGGCAAAAAGATGCTGAGATTTATGACCCAAGAAATCATCAAAGTGGGAGAAGGGCAGGTAAAGATGAAAGAGAGTGCAGGGGGGATAAATGGTGATGGAAAAATGTGAATGAAAAAAAAAGTTAAATCACCTTTTTCATTAAGGTACCAAACGGACATATTAATTACCCTGCTCAATTTCACCTGAACTCACCTTAACAGTCATTGTAGTGTTTTCACTATATCTTCCGTTGGCTCAGGGGAGGCATGTACTCATTTTGGCTCATGATGTAAATTACTTAAAATATAAAGACTGTGGATTATAGCTCTTTTCCCCCCATTTCTGATCTTACATATAGTGGTGATTAAAATATGTGTATTAAGAACAAAAGACATAAAATATATGGGTTTAAAATAATGTAAGACATATATGAAGGACTTGAAATCCTAAGTAAAGCTGATAAGAAAGAAAAGGCATGTTTGAAAAAGAAATGAATAAAAATGGCAAATATTATCATGGAAATAATTTTTTTAAAAAAAAAGTGCGTTAACCCCCAACCCGTCACCAAAACTCAACCAACAAACAAAAATGCTCCATTATTTCTCTAGCTAACGGTTCATGGGACAAGTTTTAGGCATTCAGTTAATGAAATACCTGGCTAAATTTTTACCAGCTGTCTCACCTCCGGAAGATTAATTCAATGATCAATATAAATTACCAATCAATAAAAATACCAATATTAGGAAAGAAAAGAAGAAAATTTAGTGTTCTCTCCTCTAGGTTATAATCTAATTGGGGAAATAAAATCTATATTTATGGCACAACCATAAAACATATCCCAAAAAACTCACGGTATAAACAAGCAACTAGTAGGATGAGACAGTATTTATATTAAATGTAAGAGATTCAAATAATGGGTTTGGTGAAATTAATAAAGAAAAATATTACAGATCATTTCACCAGAAGTTCAAGGTCAATGCCCTGGCTGGTATGGCTCAGTGAACTGAGTGCTGGCCTGTGAATCTAAAGGCTGCAGGTTCAATTCCCACCTGGTCAGGGCAAATATCTGAATTGTAGGCTGGATGCCCAGTTGGGGATGCATGAGAGGCAACCGATGGATGTTTCTCTCATACATCAATGTTCCCCCTTCTCTCTCCCTCCCCTCCTCTCTCTCCAAAAATAAATAAATAAAAATCTTTTTTAAAAAGTTTAAGGTCAATATTCTATAAATGACAGGTTAGTCATACTTTATGCCTCTAATCCTTCCAAAACCCATAAAAATAACAGAACAATGGACTTTAGAAAACTTTTCTTAGAACTGGAAGTATATCCAAGGAAAAAATTTGTAACAATTTAACTTTCCCAGTTACCTGCACCAATGTTTTTTCAATATTCATAAACATCTCAACATTGCGATCCATTCGGGATGGGTTCTGTAGATCAAACCTCCGCCTTAAAGACAAAAAATAATTAATGTCTCCCACCTTAAACAACAGTGAACTTGACCGTGGCATTCAATGCAAAGGAGTTGGACAGATTTGGGAATTGAAAAGTATATTCTCCCTGGCTGGTGTAGCTCAGTGGACTGAGCGCGGGCCTGCAAATCACACGATCGCGGTTCAATTCCGAGTCAGGGCACATGCCTGGGTTGCGGTTCAGTTCCCAGCAGGGGACGCACGAGAGGCAACCATACATTGATGTTTCTCTCCTTCTCTCCTTCCCTTCCTCTTTAAAAATAAATAAATAAAATCTTAAAAAATATATATTCTCTCAACAGTAATAGGAAGCAACGTTAACTCCTAAAAGACTAAATTTTAAGACATTAAGATTCACTCCAGTCAAAATGAAGTATCTGTTCCATCCCATATTCCTTAAATCGAAGGTGTTTTACATCATATAAAAAATCAGTCAGCCCAACCAAAGGCAGTAAACTGCTATACCACCCTTCAAGTACCAGCAGTCCATCAACTCTGTGTGTGCTTACAAGTCATCTGTTCAAATGCAACAGTGCCCATGTTCTCTGAGGCCGCTACTGTCCTAATGTGGTGAAATTCATCTCGTTATCTTCTCTTGAAATCTTCCCCCAATGCCTGTTTCCGTAAGTACACAAGCATAACATTTTGCTGTCTTCACCTATTATTAGTTGCTTTCATACAGTTACGTGTTTATATATTTGACTGCTTTTTCTAAGCATCTTTTTAAACCCCCAGCCAAGGAGAGGGTTTTGTTGATCTGGCGGGGGTGGGGAGGATCTGTGAGAGAGAAACATTGACCAGCTGACTCCTAGGCCTGCCCCAACCCAGGGCTGAGCCCACAACCAGGTATGTGCCCTGACTGGGGAGTGAACCCACCACCTTTCTGGTGTACAGGACTACGGTCCAAACAACTAAGCCACCCGGCCGGGGATCTCCATACTTTTTGTTCAGCACTTGCTCTGCTTCTGTTCTATTTTAATTCTGGGGGAAAAGCACAGTTTAATGACTGAGAGTGTGGGCTGCGGAGTGGAACTGCACTGGGCCCGGACCCTGACCCGATTCTTATTTATGTAGTGTGGAGTGGCTTTCTAATCCAAGAATCCACTTCTTCATGAGACAGTGGCCCACTGTGAAATTCTATGAAGGTTAAATGAGAAATATACATTAAGAGCTTAGCACAGTGTTTATGCTGTAAGTAACTGGTCAATAAACGTTAGGAGAGTTATACTATTTTTTAAATCACTACCACCACGCACTAGCAGTCTAAGTCCTGAGTGCACGCTCCGAACTCCCAGGTTTTACACTGGAGATGCTCCCCGCACTGCCAACCTCTTTCTAAACTCTCCAGGATGCCACCACCAACTCAGCGGATCCATGAAACATGAAATCCACGGGACTGATTCCCGTGCGGAATCAGTCCACAAGGCACTTCCTCTACGCAGCGACTGTCTCCCTTCAGGCTCCCAACACGCCCTGCGCACACTCACCACTCTAGCTTGTTAGGTCGAGGGCAAGGCCTGGGCTTCACGTTTTTCCTTAAGCAGTCTTAGCGACTAGTAGAAATGTGTGTCTTCATAAAGCAAACCACTCAATAAATTAGTATTTATTATGACTGAGTTTTAATATTTATTATGACTTTTTCATTAATGAGCTAAGACTGAAATGCTTCCCAAAATAATTCCAATTAAAAAATTAAGCCAAGTGTCCACTAAAGCACAGACGGAAGTAATTTAAAATAGAACCAGCTCCAGCATTAAAAATGGCATTTACAGAGGAGACAAAACCTGTCCCAGCGAACCATGCAGACATAACCTCGGGACACGTAACCTTCGATCCCACTCTTCCGTTTCTGAGGATGCTCCTTCCCTAATCCCTGAGGAGGGGGTGGTAGGGGAGACACTGCACCCCATTTCCCGACTGGCAGGACGGCAGGCTACAGCTGACTACCAGAAACACCCTCTGACAGCTGACAGCTGAAAGCGTGCCACAGTCTTCCGCCACAATTAACCCCCCTTCCGCAACACAAGGTCACTCTCCCGCAGGCTTCTGATAACAGAAGAGCTGGGTCCATAAATGCATCGCTTACAGAACTGCTCCCACAGTCCGCTCACTGTTCAGAGAAACGGCTCCCTACGTAGCTGACGCAGATAATGGGTCTGAAGGGAGGCATCTCTCTTGCAGATCTGAGGGACGCTCTGAAAGCAGCACAGAAATTTAAACAGGGCAGCTTGGATTGATCTGAATATTAAGAGCTAAATAAATCCATTACTAGAGAAAAAAATCAGGAATTTGTTCTGCCTTTCCAACTGTTAATCAAGTTTCTCTTCAGAAAAATATCCCAGCTAATAAATGAAGAAGGAATAACAGTGTTCCATAAGATATCATCTAAGCAACAGTAAGGACCTGTACCTACACAATGGAATGTCTACCATCTGGTTTTGTCCGAATAGGAACACCCCCACGTGACAGAGCTGTCACAGCAGGGTGACTTGAGGCGCTGCGCGCTGAGGGCCACGCACCACAGACAGACAGACAGACACCCAACAGGACACACCTCCCAGTGGAGAAACGCAGCAGTCTGCGAGGTCTGCACTAGGTCTGCGCTCAACGCTGCTGGTAGGTTCTGTGACTTTAGGGAGAACGACATATAAGGAACAACCTGTAGCAGAGGCTAACTGATATAAACAAAGTTAGAGTCTGTTGTTAGGAGGAAACTATGCAGAGTGAAAAGTACTGCTGCACAGTGCTGCTGCCAAAAACAAAACAACAAAAACAAACCTGAACTTGAATCAAACTCAGCCTTGGATCTACCCATGTTACTGGACTACGTTAAACAATATCCCCTTGGACATAACAGCAAAGTTAAGTCAAAACAAAGACAATTCTAAAAGGCAACCAGTGTTGCAAAAATAACTTGCAAGGACAAAGAGAGATGAGAAAACTATAAATTTGTTTAGAGAGACTTAAGCGTCATATCAACCAAATGCAATGTATAAATCTTGGCTGAGAGCTGAGGTGAACAAAACAGAAACCATTCATGACATCAGGGAAACTTCAACACTGAGTGGATATTTAATAATATTTGTAAATTAATGATAATTTTCCTAGTTGTGATAATAGCACTATTATGTTCTAAAAATCCTTTTTGAAAGTAAACACACAGTGAGATATTTACAGATGAAGTTATCAAGCTAGAAATGCACGACGGCAGCCCGGGGGCTCTGCTGCGTGAGCGCCGTCCCAGGCGTCACTGGGACTAAATGTGAGCTCTCAATAATGGTGAGACTTCTGCTTTGCTCTCCTCTGGCATCTGCTGGGCAAGGTTTTGCAGCAACCTTTCAATACATGATACTGACTGTCGAAAGGACCTTCAATAACTATGTTGCTCAATTTTGCAGCCCCTTGTAAATATATTTAGTGATGTTCTCTTTGCATCCTCAGCTATGTATAGAAAACAGTCTGAATACAAATAATCAACTATGAATCCCAGAGAATAAGTTTCACACCATCTGGTGTGATTCTAGGAAGGCAAACTTCTAAAACGAAAAACAAAAGCGCCCTGAACTGGGGCAAGGCCAAGAGCAGGCAATGGTAGAGAAGGACCGCGATGTGGGAAGTGACCCCAGTGGACCTCGACGGGAGGGGCTCTGGTGCAAGAGGCAAACTAGAAAAGCCTGCAGACGGCCACCAGAAGGGGGGGTCTAGCACCGCCAGAGGGGTCCTGCAGCACAGAGATAATCAGAGCCTAGAAACAGGCAGCACACAAGGGGAGGGAGGTCTATCAGGCAAACCAAAAACTATACTCCACTGGGTGTGCATCTCTGGGCTAAGTAAATTGGTTTGGCCCCTTGCTATATTATATTTTTAAATAAAAAAGCTGAGGGTCGAAGTTCGAGTCCCAGTCAGGGCACATGCCTGGGCTGTGGGCCCGGTCCCCAGTGGGGACCATGTGAAAGGCAACCACACATTGATGTTTCTCTCCCTCTCTCTAAAAATAAAAATAATAAAATATTTAAAATAAGTAAGCTGGAGGACTAGCAGAAGAAATATTTTAAATACACTATTAAAATGAGTAATTCTTCCGAAGTTAAACTATCTAAACCACCTTTGTGCTAGAATGACAACCTGACTGACCAGCGCATCTCCACGTGACGCGTAAGGACCACTTAGATGGAGCGCCCTTGGAAAACTCCAATTCTCAGCAGCTGACGACATGTCCGTGAGGCCTGGTAGTTTGTATTTTTAATAAGGACTCCAAGTGATCCCTACAGTGTGAAAGCTACTGCCAGAGGGACGGAGGGAGGAGGGAAAGGAAAAGGGGGAATGAAGGGAGAAGCAGAACTGTAGGTACCAGAGCAGGGACTCTCCTCCCCGCTCCAGCTCTGCCCTGGCAAGAATCCGAACCCTCTGAGCCTGACCCCTCTCCCCTCTGGCCCGAGGAGGCCGACTGGATGGCTCGTATTCTGAAGGCCTAGCTCAAATGAACATTAAAGTTCTATCTTTCAGCGCACTGGCAGTTCACAATACACATGCGCTTCACAGTGTGCCTGCCTTCTAATCTGCTGACAACGCACACGCATCTACTGTCCCTCCACAACCGCGTCTGAGAAACCGCCTGCTCAGGAAACACCACGGTGGTTTCGCATTTTTCTTGGGTGTCGGCACAAAGTAAATGAGGGCTCTAAACCAAAGACAACTAATTTGCATGTTGATCATAATACATCTATAGAATTTTCTAACACCGTACAAAGAAGGAACAGGATTCAACATGAAATAACTTCTATATTACCTCAAAACATGTAAATAAATTGAAACTTACCATCCCTGTTCATTTTTATACTTGTAAGCAGCCCCAAGGACATGACACAAGGTGCCTCCAGCTTTGAAATCCATGAAACATTTTGCCTAAAAATGATAAAAGTTACACATGAGAAAAATAAAAGTTCTGACAAAATTACTTATTTCTGAACTCTAAGCTATAAACTCAAAGATATAAATAACTCCTTAAGTACTTTCTGAAACAAATGAGGTATAAAAAATTTTTCTAAAAAATAGATAAAAAATTTCTTTCCAAGTTCAATTAACATATTACTCTTTAAAATATTGATATATAACAAACTCCACTGGTAAGTATAAAATTTGATTCTTAAAACAAAATTTCAGTAACAAATTTCCAACAATATGGTTTCCCTATAGAATAAGAAATATTAGTATGCATTAAAAATTTTTCAAATCTGGTTTCCTGAGTTTATTTACTTTTTTAAGATTTTGTTTACTTCTTAGAGAGAGAAGAAGGGAAAAAGAAAGGGAGAGAAACATCCATATCAGCTGTCTCTTGCATACCCCCAACTAGGGACCTAGCTGGCAACCTAGGTATGTGCCCTGACTGGGAATCGAACCAGTGACCTTGCAGTTCACAGGCCAGCCCTGAACCCACACCAACCAGGGTCTCAACTTTAAATTATCAAAAACTGTAACTCAATTTTGACTATATTTTAATGACCACTCAAACAATGTAGCACTATATTTAACTATATATAAACGTAAAGCTAAAATCTGCACAACTTAAGATACGCACATCACAGATTGTAAATAAATCATAAGACCTCAAATAAATCAAATGCCGAATGATTTCTACAATATGGGAGGAAAATTTAATTATGAGCCCATCATCAAATGTGCTAAAAGATGAAGTGTTAGAAATACATCATGTAGAGCTGGCTTTAGCTCAACGGGTACTTCGATTCCCAAGAAATACATCATGCATTTTTCTCTTTGAAAACTACTCTGAAAAATATTGGGTTGGCCCAAAAGTTCATTTAGTTTTTCCTGTACGATGGCTCTAGTAGTGCTTAGTTCTAACTTCATTCAAAATAATTTTGTTAGAATGTATTGTGACAGCTGTCATTATCAGCATGCATTAAAAACAAACAAACAAACAAACAAACAAACAAACAAACCCCACAAAACTTATCACCCTGGCTGGTGTGGCTCAGTGGATTGAGTGAGGGCCTATGAGCCAGTGGGTCACCTGTTCGATTCCCAGCTCAGGGAACATGCCTGGGTTGTGAGCCAAGTTGTGCCCCCAAGAGGGGGCGCACGAGAGATAACCACACATTGATGTTTCTCTCCCTTTCTCCTTCCCTTCCCCTCTCTCTAAAAATAAATAAATAAATAAATTTTTAAAAAGAGCTTTTCCAGCCTGGTTATCCTGTTGTTTCTCAAACACACAGGTTCTGAGTTCCTAATTTATTCTGTCCAGTACACCACAAACCCTGATTACATATTCCTAAACAAATATATATACGGATGCAATTCTTATTCACGACATGAGAAAATGCACAATCCACAATTCTGCAGCATTCACCTCTAAAATCAGAACAGCACGCTAGGTAGGTACTTACTAGGACAGAACGAGACCTCGTTCTCCCCTGGGCCTCTCCTGAACCCCCGCTCGGTCTCACAGGTTCTCTGACACCACCACGTATGCACATCACTACTGCACAAACACAGCACAGCGCTGAAATGACTAAGTTGTCGGTTTATCTGTAACGTGAACTCCTTGAGGACAGAACAGTGTCTTACTCGAATCTTTGACACTAGTATTCAGCAGAGTGCCTGATGCAGGTAATCAATAAAAATTTTCTCAATACTTCAAGTGTACTAAAATAATTTACAAAGTCAGAGCTATGCTGAGAAATATACTGAACAGACCAGAACAATAAAATATTGGTACATATAGCTTAAGATTAAGGTTAATTTTTAGACAGATATTAAATTTGAGAAATTAAATCATTATCACATACAGGCTTAAGACTAACTTCTATCAACCACTAAAGGGACCAGTCATGAATGAAAAGTAGAAAACTGCAGCCTTCACTTTCCCAGTGGTAAGATCTGAACAAAAGGGGGAGATTCGTGCACCTGTCGCGGGCACCGCACGGTACAGTGAGACAAGAAAAGCATCCTCAAAGATGGGGCAGAGTGAAAAGTAAAGAGGGCTGCTCACCATAATTCAAGGACTCTTAGAGCTTGCTTAAAAATGGATTTGGGATTCCGATCCTCGGGACAAGCTCAGTATCAGACCCACCCCGATTTAAAAAAAAAAAAAAAAAGTAATGGACCAGAGTCTAGGGACGATGTGCTGAAGGCAGACCGAAGAGCCTCAGGGACACCCACTGGGCCCTGACTATATTTCCTCACTCTACCCCACCCGAAGGCCCCCCCAGGGCCTTTGCTCTGGCACCAGACTGGCTCATTCTCAACAGCTCTCTGAAGCAGAAGCACAGATTGGTGTGGGTAAATTCCTCTTGATTAGCATTAAAAAAACTAAAGGACAACAGGGCACCGAAACCTGACCCTTCCAGACCTCAGTTAGAGACTCCGGGGGTTAGGGACAGCTCGGACAGGCTGCTTCTATTCCAGGCTGTGTGACCACATTGCCTTTGATAAGCTGTTCTATCCCTGGCAGCTAAACTGGAAATTCGATCTAATCCTGTTCTGGACCCATGCAAGCGGTCTCATCCTATTTATAGCCCACCTAAGACTCTGCTGAGCAGAACAAGACCTAGAAAAGCCACATGTAAGTGCAAAGCTTAAAACTGCTTTAAATTAGTGCCAGTATTTTTCTGATGTATTAATTAATGACAAGTAGCAGTGCGAGCAGTTGTTATAGGAGGGGGCGGTGTTTTGGTGTGAGTCGAGCACACACACGTGTGCGTGCGGACACACACAGGGACACACACACACACACACACACACACACACACACACGATGCCACGTTCCGACCTCTGCATCAGCAAACGTGAGGCATGGACGACGGAGCAGAAACTGAGCGTGCCCGAGAAACGCAGTTCACCCGGATTCAGTCGCCGTCACACCTCAAAAACAATCTGTGGGGGGGAAAACACTCGACTCCAGAACCCTGTTATCTCACAAGTATGATGACAGTCAAATATTTCACAAGTTTCTTTGTGCGTGTTAACTGCTTTCGAGCTTAAAACAGTGCTTTCTAGACACAGTTCACAATGTTATTAGTAAGGGAAATTACAATCCAGCTGACCTCAGAACAATGCATGGGTCAGGGGCACCAACCCCCCTCCCCTGCTCAGCACAGTTGAAAATCTGCACTTGAACTTTTACTTCCCCTGAACTAAACTACCACTGGCCTAATGTTGACAAGGAGCCTTACGGAAAACATCAACAGTCAATTAGCGCAGATTTTGTCTGTACGTTATAGATACCGTATTCTTAATAATAAAGTCAACCAGAGTAAAGAAAACATATCAAGAAAATCATAAACCCTGGCTGGGTAGCTCAGGTGGTTAGAGCATCACCCTGACACAGCAAAGTTAGGGGTTCAATCCCTGGTCAGGGTACATTCAAGAATCAACCAATGAACGCGCAAATAAGGGGAACAACGAATCAATCTCTCACGTTCTCTAAAATCAACAAATTAAAAAAATATACACTTTTAAGAAGACAATCATTAGAAAGAGAGGAAATCATTAGAAAGAGCTGCCCTGACTTGTGTACCAGAGTGGGCTGGGCGTCGTCCGGCAGCGGAAGCCAGTGCCACCCCATCAGGGCACCTGCCTGGGTTGTGGGCCAGGTCCCCAGGTGGGGTTGTGCAAGCAACAGCCAACCAATGTTTCTTTCCCCTTCTCCCTTCCTTCCCCTCTATAAATAAAATCCATTTTTTTTAAAAAGAATTTTTAGCCCTGGCTGGTGTGGCTCAGTGGATTGAGCACAGGCTGTGAATCAGCGGAGGGGGTTGCTGGTTCGATTCTCGGTCAGGGCGCATGTCTGAGTTGCGGGCTGGATCCCTGGTGGGGGCCACATGAGAGGCAGCCACACACTGATGTCTCTCTCCCCTCTTTCTCCCTCCCTTCCCCCTAAAAAAAAATCTTTAAAAAAAAAAAGAATTTTAAAATTTTATTTTTAAAAAAACTGCAGGAAAGAATTAACGCAGCAGGCCTCAGATTAATATCCCCAGTAAGGCCTGCCTACCAATTTGGCCTTGGCTGGCGTCTGGGAATCTGACCCTCAGAGTACTGCTCATCAAAAGTTAACAGACAGAAGGGTGGCCACTGTGTCCAGACTGCGCAAACACTGTGGTTATGATGAATTCCTGCTTTCCTTCTGGGAGTCTGAAATTTTCATGTGCACCAGGCAAAATGGACCAGCTTCCCACAAAGCCTTGGGTGAGTCTCTGACGGGCCCCCATGGGCAGCAACGCTGTGTACGCGCCGCCACACCTTCACCGTGTGGCTCTCGTGGGGGCGCTGCACGGGTTCCTCCAGCCCACACCTGCGTCCTTCTCCCTGTGGTCCCACAGCACCGATGCTCACCGCACAGCTGCAGCAAACCTCAGTCACGAGTACAACTGTGCACTGAGTCCCTGCAGCCTTCCGGCCAATCTCCAAATGTGGGGTGGTCTTGGGGACCAGTTATTTGAATAGGCAACTCACAAAAGATGAAGTTATTTGAATAGGCGACTCACAGTCAATAACCACATGGAGATGCTTAACATCATCAGTCATTGTAAAACTGTAAATTAAAAGTGGGATAAGATTCCACTTCATAACCATCAGGATGAGTAAAATTATACTGATTACACCAAGGATTGAGAATGCAAAAGGATTGGGACTCTCATACACTGCTAGATGGTACATAAAATGATATAAAAACCTAGAAACACTTTAGCAATTTCTTAAAAAGTTAAATGTTACCAACTCTACCACCCACACATTCTGCCCCTAGGTATATCCGCTCAGCAGGAACGACATCCCCAGAAAGACGTGTATGTTAACGCTGATGGAGGCTTTACCGCAAAACTGAGAAAGGCCCAGGTTCCCACCACACAGCAGGTGGCTCACCCGCGCAGTGGGACACTACTCAACAATAGAAGGGGACAAACTACTGACACATGGAACAACACAGATGACAGGTGCCTCAGAATTGGGATGCTGAGTTAAAGCAGCAAGGAAAACAAGATTATAATACTGTGATTCCATTTACATAAATTTGTTGAAATTGTAAAATCTGTAGTGTCCACGGTTGCCAGGGGACATGGGTACAAGAGAAGTGGATTACAAAGATACTTTGGGGAGGTCAAAATGTTCATTACCTTGAGTTCATCGTATTTTAAATATGTATATTATTTGTTGTGTATCAATTATACCTCAGTAAGACTGGAGGGAGAAAAGTTACAGAAGTTAAGAAAAAACATAAAAATAGCCCTGGCTGCTGTGGCTCAGTGGATGGAGCGCCAGACTGTGAAACAAAGGGTCACGAGTTCAATTCCCAGTCAGGGCATAGGCCTGGGTTTGGGCCAGGTCCCCAGTGGGGGGCAAGCAAGAGCCAACCACACACTGATGTTTCTCTCCCTCTCTTTCCTCCCCCCCCCGCCCCCGTCTCTAAAAACAAATAAAGTCTTTTAAAAAAGAAAAAGAAAGAAATTACAAAATAAAAACATCACCCTAATAAATAAGAACTACAATTCCAGTGAGCTGAGGTTCCTCCCTGGCCATGTGACACCCCCCCCCCCTCCGTGGTGTGACTGGGACTACAGACCCGCTGTTAACAGCAGTCACTGGGCGTTCCACAGCCCTGCTCCACGGTGGCCCCACAGGCCCGCTGCCTGGCACACAGGCCCAGTGGAAGGGACACATGAGTTTACGGACAGTTGGGAATGTCCTACTTCTTACCTGGGTCGTGGTTAAACGAGTGCTCTCTGTAATGATGTCAGTTTTATTCATTTTGTGTACACATTACAATAAGAAGCTTTAAAAATGGAAAGAAGTCACTGCTGCACAAAGCCAATGCCCAACCCCGTCACTTAACGGCTGCCTGAGCTCCACCGCATCAGAGCTCTGGGCTACACACTGAGAAAGCCAACGGCCAGCACACATCCTCTTAGGCTCCTCTTTCTAGTCCCATGTTCCCAAAACAGTCTCCCTCTCTGAAGTTTACAGACTGGCAGTACTGTAAAAAAGACGGGCTGTGCATTAAATGATTGATTTTCTTAGATGTAATGACAACTCAAAATTCTGAACATCTCACGAACACGTTTAGAATCTTCGGCTACATTAGACTCTGACTTGACCATTCCAGAGTCCGCCAGGCTCTTAGAGCTTCGAGGTTTTCAGATACAGATGCTCATGATCTTTGTAAAAAGGCAGAACTCGATCCGGCTCTATCGCGTTATCACAATTACATTTACGCTATGTACGCTATGCACCAAACCTTAAAGGGGTTGTAAAGAGAAAAACCACAAGAATTTTATACATGTGATGAAGGTAAAAATGCTATTTTTTCTTTTTTTTAAATTAATTTTATTTAGTTATTTTTCAAGTACAGTTTTTTGTCTATTTTCCCCATCCCAGCCTCCCCCGCCCCTTGCTCCCCACCTCCCTCCCGAAATGCTATTTTTTCTGTTTGAATTCATATTTAGGTTTGCCCACATATTATTTTTAGCCTTACAATATACTTTTTCCCAAATTTTTACAACTTCTCAGTTAGCTTCAGACAGAACATACCCAATGTTGAACTAGCTTTTTAATATCCAGTATGATTTACAGAATTAAAGTTGCACTTTGATTAAAAAAAAAAAAAACAGCCCAAACAGTGAACTCCTACACTAGCACTAATTATTCACACACAAAAAGTTTTAATGCAAACAGCTTCCATGTTTCACTAAAACATTCTTCACTGTATCCTCTCTTACCCACCCGTGTTTCCCTCCACTACATACTACATCAACCCCTTTCACCTGGGAAAATGCTATGCACTGCTTTGAGAGGAAGAGAAGTTCATTTGGTCCCGCGGGCACTAAGCCATGAGTTATTTAATACCAATATAATGTAAATCACATTATATAAAATTCTTTATTGCCTTAGCTGGTGTGATTCAGTGGATTCAATGTTGGCCTGAAAATCAAAGGGTCACTGGTTTGATTCCCAGTTAGGGCACGTGCCCGGGTTGCAGGTCAGGTCTCCAGTACGTGGCACATGAAAGACAACCACATATTGATGTTTCTCTCCCTCCCTTCCCGTGTCTAAAAATAAATAAATAAAATATTTAAAAAATAAAATTATAATATTATGTGCAAATTTTATCCTAAGTGTTATAGACTGGTAAAATACAATCTATATGTATTATATTACAGTGTTTTAAATGATGAAAACTTCAACCAGTTCCCAATTTGACAATTCTAAACCACAAGAAACAAGGGAATAAACACTCAAGTCCTGGAGTTCATAAGAGAATAGGAAATAAACGCTCAAGTATTTAGCGGTGAAGATGCCGTTAAAGCACAGTATGATGTTCTACAGCTAAAGGGTGATGTACTCACAGGGAGCTTGGTGAAGGCCGGGTTGGCGACATGCTTCCCAAAGGTATCTTCCTGGAACTGGAGAAGCTGCACCACCAGCCCCGCCAGCGTTTTATTGGTGGGCGCGTCCGCATGGACATACTGCAAGATAAAGGCAGGGGCTCAAAAACGAGGACAATCATTCGGGAGAACATCACCGTCCTTCCTCGTACCTACTAAACAGGGACAGATTTATAAATGCCTGAGATGCGCAAACCTGCTGTCGAGTTTACAAAGACAAATACCAGGGGTGGCAGGGAGAACAGACACCAGTCTCTTTAGTTAACAGATCTTCAGAATAACAAATACCACACCTAAGAGATCCAACAACCCAGCTCATCGCACCTGGACCTCAGATGGTAAGATTCTGGACCTTGACTAGAGTCTGATGCTGCAACAGGATGAGGCCTACTGGCCAGTCTATTTTGTTATGTGGGATGAATGTAACTATTCTGTGGCCAGAGAGCAAACTATTGTTTTTAAAGCAGGTCCACACTCCTCTCATCAAGAGGTGGGGTCTATGCCCCCTTCTACTGAATCAGCAGCATCCTTAGTGACTTACTTGTAACCAACAGGATGCAGAAGTGATGCCATGTGACTTCTGAAAGTAAGTCAAAAAAGGTCCGACAGCTTCCACGTAGCTCTTTTGGGATACTCACCTTTGGAGCCCTGAACTATAAGGAAGGAGTCCAATCACCCTGACCCCACCATCCTCTGATGAAGCCCGGGTGACATGGAGATGCTATGGCCGCGAGCCCTAGCTGATGTCCCAGCAGACTGACAACGCAACCACCGGACACATCAGTAAAGACGGTTCCAGTTACTCCCGGCCCACAGCTGTCCAACTACCCCAGCCATCAAGTCTCCCCAGTTGAGGGCCCAGACATCACTAAGCAGAGACAACTGTCCCCACTGTGTCCCTTCCAATTCCTGACACACTGAACTTTAAGCATGATAAAATAGTTTTATGGCATTAAGTTTTGAGCATAAAATAGTGGTTGTCTTTATGCACTGAAAAAAATACACACACCAGCACTTCAAATTGTTAATTAAGACAGTAAATTTACGGGTTTTACCACAATAAAAAAACTGTTTTAAAACAATACATGTGAAAAGTTACCCAAACAGAGGATGAGGGCGTCGAAAGGCCAAACCAGTGGCAGAGAGCAAGCTTGCTCTACAGCAGAGAGAGGTAACAGGTACCGTGGCAGGGAAAGCATGAATTAGGAGCTGAATTAAATGTAAAAGTTGAACTTGGTATTAAATATTCACTATCACTGTAAGAAATCAACATTCAATATATTTTTTTAAAATCTCCAATTCTGAACAGGACAAATTCTATACTTTCTTCAGTTTCACGAAAGACAAGAAAAAAACTAAACTTTCCTCCTGGAGAAACCCTCTTTCCCAGGACCGCTCAACATTTCCAGAGTAATATGTTAAGTTTCTCTCACAATAAATGATTTTTAAGTTATTTATATATGGCAAAATATTGGCTTCACAGTCTACCATTACTACACATGAAGCTGAATAGCTCTCAATCTGTGCTACTGCCAAAGAGAGAGCGTAACACACCACAATTCTTCTTAAAGCTTAGTTAGCATCTTCTCAAGTTTTGGTCTGTTCAGGTGCATTGGCTTTCGACTCTAAACGAAGCAGCTAGTGCGTGGTTAACTTTGCTGAAGGCTGGCCCGAATTTTGTTGAAATATTTTACATGCAGTCTTCTCAACCAGAAGTTGGTAAAATCCCACCTGCTGCCTATTTCTCTGTGGCCCACAGCTAAGAATGATTTTTGGACGTACCCACAAGATAACTTTGCTACCTTTAATAAGTGCAGGATTCCCAAAGGGGTCATATTTTAAAAACCGCAAGTTTTTTGCATATGGTAAAGAATATGAAAAATTAATAACTATAACTTTTCCAGATACCTATAGATAACAAAAATAATGCCAACTCCTAAAACTGAAAAAAGACACCAACTTGGAGGAAGGCTGTTCAACTAAAGACAAATCAACCCTCCGGGCAAAACGTCATTTTTAATCCTTGAGATGTATATACACGTATCTTTGTAGACATTGTAAACTTCACTACTATACATGTTTCATTCAGTGTATGAGAAAAGGTTTAGAATGAGAAAGGTTTTGTGTGAACAAACCTCTCAGTTTCAAAAACATTGATACTCTCTTCAGCTTCACAAAAAACAAAAAACTAAATATTTTTAAATTGAAAGCCCAGAGACAATTACCTTAGATACTTTCAAATCCATTTTGAAATGATAAAATATTTTACTCTGATTAATTTTTTCCAAATGACCCACAAAAATAATCAAGCACAAAAATGTATGTAAGAGGTGATATTTAATTCATACATGAAATCTGAGCCCTGGCTGGTGTAGCTCAGTGGACTGAACCTGTGAACCGAGAGGTCACAAGTTAGATTCTCGGTCAGGGCACGTGGCTGGGTGGCGGGCCAGACCCCAGTAGGGGGGGCATGCGAGAGGCAATCGATGGATGTATCTCTCACACACTGATGTTTTTCTCTCTCCTCCTCCCTTCCCCCTCTCTACAATAACTAAAATCTTTTTCTTAAAAAAAACTGAGATTAGCCCTGGCTGGTACAGCTCAGTGGATTGAGCACAGGCCTGCGAACCACACGATCACGGTTCGATTCCGAGTCAGGGCACATGCCTGGGTTGCAGTTCAGTTCCCAGCAGGGGACGCAGGAGAGGCAACCACACATTGATGTTTCTCTCCTTCTCTCCTTCCCTTCCTCTCTAAAGATAAATAGATACAATTTAAAATTTTTTTTCCCTTAAAAAAACAAAACAAAACAGATTAACATGCTACTGCTAACTACATCTGATACCCACTCAAAAGACAGTCAATGTGTGACTTTCAAATGATTTTAAATCAACTTTTAAAAACTGAGAAACAGTGACATTCTACTTAACCAACAAGAGCGAAGCAGGCTGTCCTGCAAAGCCCCGGGCTGCTGGCCGGACGCCACGAACCTGTAAAACGCGCTACCTGACAACTAGTCAGGGGCACGGACCTCCTTCCCGAGATGGTCAAATCAGAAAAGTGACACAGCCAACATAACATTGGCCATCTGGTGCGAGGGAATGAAACATACACCTGTTTTTCACCACATTGGCAAAAAACACACTTTTTGGTATGCTGCACAATTTTTTCTTAATGATTTTTTAAATTTATTTTCAGAGAGAGGGGAAGAGGAGGAAGAGAGGGAGAGAAACATCAGTGTGTGGTTGCCTCTTGCACGCCCCCCACTGGGGGCCTGGCCCACAACCCAGGCCTGTGCCCTGACTGGGAATTGAATCAGCAACCCCTTGGTTCACAGGCCACACTCAATTCACTAAGCCATACCAGCCAGGGTCAGAATTTTCGTAATTAGTTTATGCATGCCATGAGATGGAAAAAAATTAAAAATCACTGTTCTATGGCATATCTCTGGAAGCAGTAGAAATGAACTTGGTTACCAGTATGGGACAGTGGAATGAGCATTACATTTGGCTGAAAGACATAAGTTCAACACTCTTGGTTGCTAATCAGTGGTGTCCTTAAACAGTTCGCTTGATTCCCACATTCTAATTTTCCACTTGTAAGTGGGGAGTCAGACCATCTCCCACCGGACTGTTGCTCGAATCAAACGAGAGTCCTTAGACATGGACTGTGGAAATGTGAGGGGTTATGGTACTTTCGCCATATATCCCACTGTCAGTCTGCTTCATTCTTTTTTTTTTTTTTAAAGCTTTTTTTTATGGAGAGGGAGAAAGAGAGGGAGGGAAACACTGATGTAAGAGAGGGAAATACCTATCAGTTGCCTCTTGTTCACACCCTGACCAGGGACCGAACCCACAACCCGGGCATGTACCCTGACCGGGAATGGAACCGGCGACCTTCAGCTTTGCAGGACACAGCCCAGCTAACTGAGCCTCACCAATCAGGGTGAGGCTCAGAACAAAAAGTTCTTAACAGCTTTCAAAATACTGACTCCTGATTATGAAAAAAGAAATTAATGATTATATAGACTATTTCAGTCAAACATTTCATCGTTTCATCAAAAAAAGCTCAACATCATGTTTTATTTGACAACAAGAGTGTTTTAGTCTCAAAGTACTTTGGTTAAGAAACTTTGGAAGACATGTTTAAAATTTTATCAATAAACCTGCTTTATATTCCCTGTGACAATAAATTATAAAGTTTAACTTGTCCCTAAACAATCCTATTGCAACAAATGTCCCATAAAAAAGAACTGTCTTAATCTGTTAAATAATTCATGTAAAGGGCATTTAAATTCTTTTTTAGATAATATTCTATTTTAGTGATCATCCTTAAATCTAAATCATTCTCAAATCTTATATCAGGAATTAGCAAAAATTCAGGAAGAAACTTCTGAAATGTTGATGGCTTACAGATACACTTCACCTCCAAGGTATGTGAGACCTGTGAAGTTTTATAACTGGACAACCACTCGGAAACTGTGGACAGAAATACAGTGCTCACCTCTACCAAAGTTAAGTTGAAAGACATGTAAACAATACAAAGACAGGAACTTAGGTAGATGAACAAGCTTCCACACTGCTACCAGACCTAAAGTGCAATGTCAGGCAAGCAGTTAACCTCTCCAGGCTTTAGCTGCCTGGTCTCTAAAGTGGTCACTTCCTCTGGACTCCTCTGGCCTAGCTGAAGCTCATCCCAATCAAGAGGTCTGCACTCTCTCCTCTGTTTTGCTAAGCCAAATTTATCTACGAAGCCTAAATGAATAGGCTCCTAGACTGGTTTAATCTGTTCATTCACTGAACAAATATTTACTGAACACCTACCAAGGGCATTTAGAAAACAAAAATAGAAGGAAGTTCTTTTAATTTACAATCACCTGGGTTTTACAAGTAGGTGTCTATGCCTATCTTTCCCACAAAGTGTGAGTTCCTTAAAGAGAGACAGGTGTAGGGGAAAAAAAGGAGGGGGTGGGTGTGGAGGGATTTGGAGCCAGGCAAGGCAGGATTCAGTGAATGCCAAATCTGCCACTCCTAACTGCAGTATCAGAGAAATTACTTAAATCTGGAGCCTCAGGTTCCTCTCCTGTGTAAAATGAAGTAAATAATGTCTATCATTCAGGAATATTGTGAGGATTTATGTGAGTTACATCTTAAATGCCTGGACGTGGTGGATGCTCAATTATTCACTGGATGCATAGAGAGACCCATCAATAAAAAGGGGACCATCGATGTCATGTTTATTTCACATAGTTGCTGAGATCAATTTGAAACTACAGTATTAAATGTAATTAAAAATTTTTCATTAAAATCCGTCCATGTGTACAGGATACAGTGTGTACGAAAGAAGCAAAGAACCTCTGGCCAATGCTTTCACCACTCCAATACCACTCTCAGAAACTGATAGAATTTTGGCTACAAAGTCAATTCTGAATCTGAGTAAACCCAAGAAATGTACTATGGCTTTAAGAAACTGTGACAGCTCTGGCCCAACAGCCCAGTTGGTTAAAGCATTGACCTTATACACCAAGGTTGAGGGTCCATCTCAGGTCAGGGCACATACAAGAAAACATAAGTTAGTAGAACAAATCTATGTTTTTCTTTCTGAAATCAAAAAAAAAGGAAAATTTACAAAAACGAAACCCTGAGCAGTCAAACCTAACTTTGACTTTGTCTTTAAGACCTGAGGGACACGGGTCAATGTTAATAACCTAGTGGTCTCCCCACACTGGGATGAACCCTCACTCAGCCTCACTGCCATTTCCGCACCCACCCAAACAAATCTCTGAGGGGTTATCCACTGAACATGCCCTGGCTGGTGTAGCTCAGTGGATTGACCACGGGCCTGCAAACCAGAGGATCTCAGTTTGATTCCCAGTCAAGACACATGCCTGGGTTGCAAGCCATTTCCCAGCAGGGGATGCATGAGAGGCAACCATACATTGATATTTCTCTCCCTCTCACCTTCCCTTCCCTTCTAAAGATAAATAAATAAAATCTTTTTTTAAAGTGCCAAAAAAAACCTGGGACCAGATGCAGAATTTAGAGAGGTGGAAATATTTTTTCCTTCCCTTGATATGTGATTTGAACAGTCCTTTGGGAATCACAAAACAATAACCTAAAGGAGTATTACTCACTCCTGGGTATTTTTCTTCATTAAGGCTACATTGATGAAGCAATACAATATTATAAGTTAACTATATCTGAGTAAAACTGGGGATGGGGGAAGCCAGACTGAACTTAAGACCCAAGACACTGTCTAAAGGGCACGTGATAAAAAAATAACCAATACTTTCATAATATATATTCCACTCCCTGAGCCACTTCCATAAGCCCTATTTAAGTACATACAAAACAAAAAAGTGACCAGTTTATCACTATGTGAAAGAGCAATAGTGAATCCTAAATGTGACTCTAAAATTTCATCAAAGAAAAAAAAACCAAAGCACCTAAAAATATACTGTAATTATACTGTCTCTCACTTCCTACAACTTCAGATAAGAAATTGTCATTTCTGGAAGTACCACTGTGTGATGTCAAAAAAAAAAAAAAAAAAAACCCCGAGATCCCTGCCCATGCCTAACAACTTCAAAACACCTCACTGCACCACACACCTCAACTAAGCAGACTCCTAGACTATCTTTTCGTTCATTCAGCACCCATTTACTAAGCAACTACTAAAGGAGAGGCCATGAGTACCAATCATGCTCAAGGACACACTGTACTGAACAGGCCTGACGAGATTCTTCCCCCACTGCTATGGTCTTCAATGAGGAAGTCCAGATCTGAAAAAGGTGTTCCGGAAATTTGGGGACAGAGGGAGTATTTTTTGGCAGTCTGCTTCGTTACACTTTCTAAGGGAGACATTCCTAAATATTTACAGTAAGGGGAAGGTGAGCATTTGTTCTAATCACGGGGTTAAGCCACTCTTTCAATATCGCTGACTCTGCGTAACTTACATCCCAAAGGTAGGACAAATAAATTTTTTTTCAAAAAGTGTGCGAAGAAGATGATATGAAATGGGGTTCTCAGGGAAGGCCTCACTGACAAACACACAGGTATAGCGAACATTAAGTCTTGTGCTCTCACTACATGTAACCTAAAATTCTGTAAACTGTGTATTTTTAATATTAGTTCTCATCAATACTGTAAGTGAATATACTAACCAACCTGCCGAACACAATTGTCCAGATCCGTTCTCTAGCATATCAACAACAGGTAGAAGGACCTTAGTTACCTCACTTGACTTTGAAGACTAATCTCCAAACAAAAAGAAGCTGCTTTTCCACACTGGCTCAGACAGTTTTTAATAACCATTGTTCACACATCTAACGCATCTAACAAAAGACAAAGATTCGCACCCTCCTGGTTGCAGAGATCTACTGTTCCTGCGCACTGGGGTCAGTAGGTGCTTCGCTAGTGATGCGTGGGCCCCCGGGAGCCTGGCCCTAGGGTCCCCGCGGAGCCCGAGGCGCGCGGGCTCCGCGAGCAGACCGCGGGGGCGTGGCGAGCCGGGTGCCGGCCTTTGTTGTCCCTCGTGGCGCGCGGGGGGGAGGGGAGACCCGGGGCCCGCGAGGCCAGTAGCCGCCCTGGCCCCAGTCGCGTGACCTCCGGGGCCCCACAGGCGCGTGAACCCACCTTCTTGTAGTGCTTGCCAAGCCAGACCCGCACAGAATCCAGCTGGGATACGGTCTCCGGGCTCTCCCAAAACTTGCTGGCCGGGCCCCCTTCCTTCCGCCGATAAACCGCCAAGCCTACAGCCACCGCCGCGCCTCCCGCACCCGCGGCGCCCGCCGCCGTCCCAGGACCGCCGCCGCCCGCTGCCGCGGCCATAGTCACCGTCCGTGGTCCCCACCGCCTGACCTGCCCCAGCCCTCGCGGCGTTCCCCGTTCGCACCCGCGCGCGCGCGCGCGCAGCCGCCACCACCTTTCCCCGGCCCCGCCCAACCAACCTTCTTCCGGCGCAGCCGTCCGGCCCCGCCTCTTCTCGGACCAGCGCCCTAACCGACGTGGGCGCGCACTCACGCATGCGCAATCCTCGCGCGGGGGTTTGGCGCACGGGCCTGTACGTCTACCTGCCTTGCCTGCTCGTTCGCGCTGTCCGCTCTCCTGTCAACTACCTCATCTCGGCCTCTGCGTGACTGTCTCTCTCCGGGTTCCTGTGTCACATCGTTCTGCGGTCAACAACTGCATGGAGGTTTTCTGTCGCCGGTGGCCGCCGCCGGAGAGAAAAGGGCTGGTGTGAGAAGTTCGGAAGGGAAAGCCCGTTGAGGTTGTCAGCGCTGGCGGACGACCCGCTCGCAGGATGGGAATCTTCACCTGCATCGCTCGCCCTCCGACCTTCCGCTCCACGCGGTCGCGTCGGCCTTTGTGCACAGCCACAGGTGACAGCCATCCGAGACTTCGTCTACACACACCTTCCTGCCCCTCGTGGCTCCAGCCACACCAGCTTATACGAGCCTCGGGGCCCTTTCTCCGGCGGCCCCGGAGACCTGCAGCTCTTTCCCTCTGGTTGTCATTAGGCGCTTTCAAATTCATAGCTTAAAGGTACTTAAGAAAAGCCTTCCCTGACGGAACAATCTTGAACGACTAATCACACTCGACATTGCCTAGGTAGCATTCCCTCGCCACGATCTGGTATTTTTCTTATTTATCATCCACATAAGTTACCTGAGAACTTAGTCTTGACCTGTGTCCACAGGAGCAGAGCCTGTTATCTAAATATTGTTCAATAAATATTTGATGAATGGATGGCCCAGAGAGAAGCAGAAAGGCTTTAAATTATTAAAGTATGAATGGCTGTTAGGGAGTTACGAACATAATGCTCTAAGACCTCAGAACAGTAGCTGAACTAATTGTAAGAAAGTCTGGTGAGATTTTGAGACCAAGTTTTAAGAACGAACGGAATGCAGCCGAGGCCTTGGGGGCCCAGCAGTAGGGTGGCTGGTGCTGAGGCTCAGAAAGCAGAGGCAACTGAGCCGAGCTGAACAGAGGCCAGAGGCCCAGTCACTCCTGACCTTTGTGGCTTCCGCCTCCCAGCTGACCAAACTCTGGACTGTGACCACACTCCAGGATTCCCAAGGCCTGTTCTCTGATTTCCATCAATTCTTACAAGTTTTCCCTCCTCAAGCACTCCGACATCTCCTTAAGTGAAGACAGGGAGGGACCCTAAAGGGCAATGAAGCTGCTAATTTAATGAACACTACAGTTTCCTCTAAACATATATTAATTTTTTTTAATATATGGAATGTGAAGGGAAGAAAGGACATTTCTGACACACAGAAACAACTGGAACAAAGGCATTCACGTGCGAAAGCATGCTTGGTGAGATTGTCCTTAAGTCCACAGAATGGTAGCAGAGAAGTTACATGGTTGTGGCAGTAAATTTTGACTTTATCCTGTAAACAGTGGGAAACCAGCTTGAACAGAGAGAATGACATGATGAGACTTCCAGATTATGACAGGGATTTTCATCTGGTGTGCCGCAAGAACTTTTAATACCTCTTTTCCCTTAGATTGTCCAAAAAATGACAACAGCCAACACAACAAACAATAGCCATCTGGTGTGAATGAGTGAAAATTACACTTATTTTTTTGTCAGATGGGCAAAAAATATTTTGATGTTCCACAGAATTTTAGTAATTAGTTTTTGAGTGTCATGAGATGAAAAAGGTTGAAAATAGCTGGATTAGCCTGGCTGGTGTAGCTCAGTGGATTAAGCGTGGACCTGCGAACCAAAGAATTGAGGTTCGATTCCCAGTCAGGGCACATGCCTGGGTTGCAGGCCAGTTCCCAGCATGGGATGCACGAGAGGCAACCATACATTGATATTTCTCTCCTTCTCTCTTTCCCTTCCCCTCTAAAGATAAATAAATAAAATCTAAAAAAAAATAGCTGGATTAGAAAAATAACAACTGCAACCATATGAGTGATGGATCAGAAAAAAGACTGGAGAAAAGATAACCTGATAAGCTGTCTAGGAGAGAAATAGTGAGAATAAAATATAAGTATGACGTGGAGCGTGCCCTCTAAGAGCCCAGAAATAATGATAATAGCTGGTGTTTGTGGAGCACTTGTGCTATCCCTTTTGGTGCCTTGTGCTAAGTACACCTACGTTCCTGCAGATAAGGATATCGAGGCAGAGAGAGGTTTACTGGCTAGCTAGTATCAGTCAGGTTTTGGAACCCAGGAATCAGACCCTGGAGTACTACCACTCCCTCTTCCAAAGTACAACGTGTTTTCTAGAGAAGAGCAGAGAAAAATGCACTGGAGGAGTTCAGAAAGCTACTTCATATGCCCAGAGCCATGGAGAGGGCAGTAATATTCCAACTTGTTTGCTCAAATAACATCTAAAATAATGTTATATACCATACACCTATTTTATTTTTAGAAACACATCTTTTCACACCCAAAATAAATGCTGGTTTATAAGAACCAGTGTATTTCCCTGGAAAGTCCTCCATGTCATCAGACTAAAAATAATCATTTGAAAATCCCCCCAAATTGAATAATTGAAAAGAGCACATTATAAAAATGGACATTTTATATATAATGGTTACATCACTTTTTAAAAGTTTTTATTTTGAAATAACATCAAACAAAAAGTTGCAAGTACAGTACAAAGAACTTTTTTTTAATTTTTAAAGTTTATTAATTTTTAGATAGTGATAAACACAGATTTTTGTTGCTGTTGTTCCATTACACATTCCTTGGTTTGATTCCTCCATGTGCACAACCTTGGCATGTTGAGATGACTGATGCTCTAACTAACTGAGCTGCCTGGCCACGGCAAACTTTCTCTTTTCTTGAACTGTATGACAGCAGTATGTTGCTGACATGCCCATTACTCAAAAATCTTTGTGTTTCCTACAGGCAAGTATATTCTCTTAAATGTTAATCACAATAACATTAAAACTATGCTCAGACTCCATTCAAGATTTTCTTGTTACCCCTGTAAGGTCCCTTATACCAAAGTTTCCAGATCAGAATCATTCATTGCATTAGGTCAAGTTTCCAGTCTTCTCCAGTCTGGAATGGTTCCCATCTTTAATTTTCACCGCACTGAAAACGTTGAAGATTACAAGCCAGCTGTTTTACAGAAATGTCCCTCAGTTTGGGTTTGGTTGATGTTCTTCATTCTGTGTTGTTTCCAATTTCATGAAATCCAGAGGCTCATGATTTCACCTCTATTGCTCTGATGACTTGATTAAGAGAGTATCCCCCAGGCTTCTCTACTGCGAAGCTATCCGTTATGCCTCTGTAGTCAACTGGAATTGTCTGGGAGGTATTTATATATCCAATTCCTCATCAAAATTTCTGTAAATTTTTATCTGTAAAGCAAGGGTAACCATGACAGTGGTGACACTGACACAGGGAATAGAATGGAAAGTTCCGAAATAAACCCGTACACCTATGGGCAACTAATTTGTGATAAGGCTGCCAAAATCATTACCAGTCTTTTTCAACCAATGGTGAGAAAATTGGATGGCTACATGCAAGAAAATGAAATTAGACCCTCACCTCACACTACATGCAAAAGTTAACTTGCAGTGCATCAAAGGCCTAAACCTGAGTTTTGTAAAACTACAAAACTCAGAAGAAAACATGAGGGCAAATGTTCATAGTTTGGATAAGCAAAATGTGACACACAGGATGAAATACAAGGTCTGTCCAGAAGGTATCCAGCCATGTGATATGAAAAATAGAGATGTTGACTGAAGAAGATACAAGAAACATTGTGTATACTGCCTCAGTCCCCTTCAAAGTAGGCATGCTGGGCCCTCACACAGTTCTCCCAATTGTCATCAGCTGCCCTGTCCTGTTTTGTTTTCCTGAATTTCATCGACAGTCTGAAATCTCTTCTCTTTCAAAGGTGATTTTAGTTTTGGGAAAAGCCAGAAGTCACAGGGTGTCAAATCTGGGCTGTAGGGGGGCTGAGTCACCTGGGTGATTGGATGTTTCACCAGAAAAACTCTGCATGAGATGTGATGAATGAGCAGGTATGTTGTCATGATGAAGCTGCCAATCACCAGTTGCCCATATCTGGGGTCTTCTGAATCATCCAAATAGTTTCCATGGAGGAATGTTCAAGCTGAATGCAAAATTGGATGCAGATCTGTTGCTGTACTCTCTCAGACATTTTGAATGTGTTGACCACACGGTACACATGCTCACTTAAGGGCTTGTACTGTGAAGTCGTCATTGTTCACACATGTACATTCCAGTCCAGTCCCTGGCTGCCAGGTTACGAACTGTTCTCATTATGTTAACAATGGTCGGACTTTCTTTGGACAGACCTCATATTGTTCACCTTTAAAAAAGAAGGTGATTCTGCCATGGTTGGCTTGCTCAGTTAGTTGGAGCATCATCCCATACACCAAAAGGTTGTGGGTTCAATTCCCAGTTGGGACACATACCTAGGTTGCAGGTTCGATCCCCAGTAGGGGCGCATACAGGAAACAACTAATCAGTGTCTGTTGCTGTCTCTCCCTTCCCAATAAATAAACGTATCCTCAGGTACGGATTAAAAAAAAATAACTAAAAGTACACAATTTATGGACCAATTTTATTCCCTTGCAGCTTTTTTCCTTTACTCCATTTGGGTGTATGTATTTGTGAACTTGACTAATTCATAAACTTTAGGTAATCAGAGTGTAATATACTACGTCAAAAAAATTTTGTGCTTATGCATAATCTCTTGTTCTTCATGTCAGTATCTTTCACATTTTATGTGAGAATTTTAAACTCTGTGTAAATAAGCACTATGGATTTTTAAAAGATGTTATTTATTTATTTTTACAGACAGAGGAAGGGAGGGAATAAGAGAGGAAGAGAAACATCCATGTGCCAGAGAAACCTCGACCAGGTGCCTCTTTCATGCCCCCAACTGGAGACCCAGCCCACAGCCCAGGCATGTGCCCTGACTGG